TTCTCTTATCAACTAAGATATATTAGAAAGTGGGCTTATTTATTAACACATGAATTCTACCGTGTAATATATCTTCACATTTATATTTACGAAGTACAATATAAGACAAGCACAAGTTTCATTTGTGAGCCATATTTCCTTAAACTTTTTGAATTTGCTGAGGGCCGATTCAAAATGGTCCGTGGGCCGTAGTTTGGACACCCCTGATCATGCTGTCATAGCTGTACAACAGTATGAACACAAGAGGTCTTGAAAAAGCAAGAGTACATTAACCCAATTCATTTTGGATGCATACATATAAATGAAAGACAAATCCTGAAACAGTCCACAGCTGCCACTCATTGTTCGTTCCTCAAACACTTTTTTGGAGATTAAAGGAAGGCCCATACACTAGTTTTGAATCCCTTACCTCATCTATAGTCTGGGGAATCTCTGTCAGGTTCTTGCCGACGCAGGTGACCGTGAGTTTTCTGTCGTCACAGCTGCACTCTTTCGGACATTTATTTGCTTCAACGATTGAACTCATCGCCAAAACCAGCAGGACGGAAGCAGCAGAGAAGAGAAGCATCTGTGCCGGGAAAACACATGTTAGAATTATGAATAAAAAGTCAAAGCTGCTGTCAAAACAATTCACTTTTTAGTGTAAGGGTCACAAAAGCTTATACGTTTTTGTGCATGTAAATGGACTGCAAAAGTCTCAAAATTCCCTCCACATAGTACTCACACACACTGGTATTTTAAAATCAAAGAAACATATCCACATTCACCCACAGTATCCCTTAACAAAATAACCAATAGCACTCCACTACTTGTGATAAGTTACTACTTATTTGGATATTTTTTCAAATGCATAACATTGATTATATCTGAACCATCTTAAATACTCAAGGCAAATAAATAAAACACAATTGTTGGTTGTGAAATGCTGTTTCGAGGTCTGACATTTGAACTACAATCAGCTCAAGTGAAGAATAATTCCAAGTAAATCCAAACTTTAACCTCAAAAACAAACTAAAAGAAACAAATAACGAATAAGAAAAATCTGTCTTACCTTCAAGCAGAACGTCCTCCTGCCACAGCCTGTGAACTAAAGGCAGTTTAAATGTTAATCTGTTAGTTATGGCTTCAGATATGTGCCGCTGACTTCTCTCTATAGTGTGTCCAGAGCTTACTGTCTGTGGTCCAGCGGCTAACAAACAAGGCTTTGGTAAATTCTTTAAAGATGACCCCTGATCCCCGAGCCCCCTCACTGCAAATTAACACCTCAGCTTCACATTTTCTGTCCCGTGAAAAGGCTCAAACACAGGCAGACACTACGTTGAGAGAGAATTGGTTGATATATTGGAAGACATACTGGCTTCTCTCTATACTTCTTTGACCCCCACTGCCTCAAAACTATACAGAATAGGAATGAAATACATATATAGAAAGCCAAAGGTCCACTGCTAATATTAAAGGTCACCTATCATGCTATTTTTAGGCAATAGCATAGGCCTCAGATATATAAAAACATATAAAAAAACATGTCTATGCAGTGTTTTGGTCAAAAAACCAAACAGATCACCCATTCTAGCCATTTTTAAACTGAAAAATAAATAAAATAAGAGGGGGCGGAGCTTATGCCGGCTCATGCGGGACCTGGCAGATACCGTCTAAAATGCTGTGGTGATGAAAGCAAGGATTATTAGATCAAGGATTATTTCTGAAACAGTATGGAGCTCAAAGGCTTTCTCTCTTGCCGGTTATACCACAAGGTGAGTTCCTTTTTATTTCCTTCTTCTTCACACACATGCTCTCCAGTACAGGTTAGCTCTGAGAGTTAGCGATGCTAATGTAAACACCGACCATATAAGTCCAAAACAGTCGGGCATTGTTTCCGATAGCAACGTTTCTGATAGTGCTGTGGGTCCGCCGCCGATATTACGTCATATCGGCCGCAAATCTGGATCAGCTCCGTTGTAGCCCCGTTTTTAGAGATTTGGGTACGGAGGAAAAGAGAGAGGGTTTTATTTTCTGACGCTGCGTGAGTTCCCCGACACACCGGGTATAGGTCCCCTTTAATAGTCTTGTGTTGCTTAGTTTTTATGTACTTGAATGTTGAGCTGGGCAAGATATTGATAAAATAATACAAGGATTCAAAACAAATCCTGAATTAGCCAAGACAAGTTTTAGATCTAAAACAAACATATATTATGTTGGTCTAAAACAAAGCTAGATAACGCTAACATTAGCTTATCATAGCTAACGTTAGCTGCATTTTCAAACAAACATAAACCAGACAATTTATATAAGTTTGCATTAAGTTAAGAGTCTAGACAACCTTTTCATAAACAAGCACCTTCTTTACCTCATTGCAACATTAAAATAAATATAGCACTGGCCATATCGATATCTTTACGACACACAACATGGTGAACTGATGGAAAAAAACGCTTCGGTCTACGGGCGCAAACACAAAGATAGTTGCTTTAATAAATAATTATAAGAAGTTGAAACATTGAACACTCAAAGCAGCTTTATTTATGCACACAAATACTCTGCACCATGTGTCTCAGTAAAAGCAGAATATACATTTAATAAATGTCATCCCTTTAATATTTCTATTGTATTTTACAGTCCTATTTTGATATTCATCAGTCAATATATATTTTAATAACGCTATTGTTTGACCATATTTCTCGAATTCAGTAAACATTCAATATTTAATATAAAACGACAGAGTAATAAAAGGTATATGGGAAATAGAAAATGTTCACATGGTTTTCTAGTTTTCACCAAACGTGTAATCTGCACGCACAGATCTAGAGAATAGTGAAAGGCTTTTTCTTATTCACTAATACAACAGGAGCATGGTGACCAAGTTGTCAGTGCCGTCCTGTGGTTTTATGATTGTACACAAAGCACTTAAGTTATTTCACACCGTAAGAGCATCAGCTTTCTTCAAAACACATTCAAGTCCAGTCCAGAGAGAGCTTTGTTTCCGACGCAGCGAAGCGAGTGGAGTCGGCTCTGCTTCAAATTTGAGCGCCTATGTGTGTGCTGGTTTCCAAAGGTCCAACAGTGATCAGTCAAAGTTCAGTCTGTGTGTGCGTGTGTGATCATGTGTGTGTGTCCTCAGCCCTCAGACCTGACTCTCTGCAGTGTTGACTGGAGGTCGTCTCTGGCGTTTCCGCATGACTCCAGAACATTGTTGTTTCTGTGAATGAGAACATATATTATAAACACACACACATCTTATTATTATTATTATTATTATTATTATTATTATTAGAGGCCCTATTCGGCTAATTTCCAGGTTCATATTTGTGTTGTGTATCTCTGTGACATGTCTCCATGCTTTAATGTTCAAAAAGCTCTTTATTTTTCTCATACTGCCTGTGTTGCAGCACCGCTTTTCACCTTCTGTCTGAAACCAGAGCCCAGTCTGCTCTGATTGGTCAGCTGGCCGGCTCTGTTGTGATTGGTCAACCGCTTAGAGATGTACAATGTGTTGGAGCGCTAGCCAATAGTAGTGTAAGTGTTACATGGTGATGTCACTATGTGTTCCTAGTGTAGAGACTGATCCGCTATCTCTCAAGGAGTATTGAGGCAGGGCTGAAAATCTAAATAATTATTTCTCTCAAGATAAATCACCATTGACCCTTTGCCGAAACTGAAAATATGAACCCATTGAAAACACATTAATGAGCAATCACCAGAGAGTGTCCACCACCGCATTTGAGCACACCAAGTGCAAAGACATTCATCATGTGCTTCTTTTTCCTGAAGCTAGGACGGTAGACGGGGTATTTTGTACCTGGGAGCTGCCTGCTGATTGGCTCATTCTGTCACGCCCTTACCGGGACAAGAAGGCCTCCAGCACCGCCACGTTCTCCTTGGGGAAGTAGTCCTGCCGAACCACGTGCTCTAAAGTGTGGAGGTGACCGGGAACCACGAGCACCGGCTTCACCTTGTCCTCACTCTGGGCCCAGGACAGAGGAGAGAGGAGGGTTACAAACATGGGAGTCAATGACTATTATGAATATTCACTTTTATTTATTTTCAACTTTTTAGCAGAATAATTCCAAATACTTGTTTCTTTTTATATTGACGGTTAAATTACCTTTTTTTTGCGATTAATATTTTTGACTATGTGTGTATTTATATGTATTCAAATGTATGAATCAGAATCAGAAACAGGTTTATTACCAGGTAGGTTAACACGTACGAGGAATTTTACTTGATGTTGTGGTGCGTACATAAAAGTAAAACAAAGCTAATTTGAAAAACTATTTGAAGAAAACCATAATAACATTAAAAAAAGATATAGTATAAAAACCCATCTTTATTCATATTAAGTAGTTTTAATTTGTTTCTCCTTTTTTTAAATCAATGTTTTTGACTGTGTTGGTATGTGAACAAAAATCTATATATAAGTATATACTTATACAATTATTTTTCTTTAAGAGTGTATGATTCTACTCCCTTTTCCCTTTAATTCACGTAATAAGATAATAAAATTAGCTTGTATTGTGAGCAAATGTATGGACACACCAAGTAAATAAATACAAAGTAAATAAAACCACCTGTTAGTATAGGGGAAAAAGACCCAAGTGGGACGAGAAACACAAAGGAATATTTCTCTCTATGCCTTGATACATTTTTCTGAATATATGCAGTCTAAGCATACCTTGAGAAGTCCGAGCAGCACCAACAGAGACGATACGAAGCTGTAGCCTTGGAAGGACGGAGTGGCAAAAGCTTTCTTCAGAAGGGCATCTGTGAGGAGAAACAACACATCTTTTTATTGCAAGTGTTTCGCACCAATGTCCACTTAAAGGAAACCTATCATGCTATATTTAAATGATATATTGTAGGGCCATACCTATATAAGGTATATTTATACGTTTCTGTTTTCAAAATACCAAACAGATCATGCATTTTAGCCATGCCTCATTTCGCTCTATGTGCTGTTTGCTGTCTACGGGGCTGATTCTGTGAGCTGCAGCTGACCACGCCCCCCTGCAGGAGAGGGGAGCCGTGCTCTGATCAAGTCAAGAGGGGGAGAAAAAAAGATCTCCGTCCTCCGTGTTTAATTATAGCCTATATAGAGTCGTTATTCATTTGTTTTAAAGCTCAATAAATAACAAAAGAAGACCTTTGACCGGCACTTTTCTAATTTTGTCCGGAAGATTTAAACTTTAACGGACATCTTGACCGGCGAAAGTAACTGAAACTGAAACTCTGCCGCACGGTCCCCTCGTTCCTTGGAAGAGGCGGAGAGGTGGGTGTTTGTCATCTGCTGGTGGACTAACCGGAGAGAATTACAGTGCTTGCCTCGATGGGGAGGGATTGCATTGAATTAAAGCAGCGGGAGCAAACGCTTGCCTCGGGGAGGGAGAAAAAAAGCCACAGCGGAGAAGGGTAACCATGGTAACCAAGTCTTCTTCGCTGCTTTTGTGGCAGACTACAGCGCCACTTACAGGCCTGGCATATGTACTACAGCGTCTCCAGCGCTTTCGAACGGCAATGGCCGTGGCTGTGTCCTCCTGATTGGTGGAGTTGGCCCAATAGCCGCAGCGCCACCGTCCTGACGTCAGGAAAGTGTTCAAATCTGGATCAGTTTTTATCAGATCCGTTGCAGCCCCTTTTTTAGAGATTTGGGTATGGAGGAAAATAGAGAGGGTTGTGTTTTCTGACACTTGGTGAGTTCCCTGGAACACCGGGGACCAGAGGTCGCGTTAACCGAATATTTTCCGTCTATGACGTAATTTTTCCAAGACTGACGGAAAACTCTGAAAGCAGTCCGTCATTTTGACAGATTAGAACACAACTCGGAACAGCGCCAAAATGTCCACCAGCGGCCCACATTATATTACATCCTTAGTGGCCAGGTCGACTGAGGGCGATCTACTGTACTCTACTGTAACTATTATTTAGTAATTCACACCCCTGTCCAGTTGGTGGCGAGTGTGTGCATATTAAGTAGCTATTGTCTAGTCTTGTATTTGACCTCGTTGATTACCTCGTTGTTTAACCGGCTTTAGCAATCGCAAAATGTCACGGCAGCTGAGTGTCCGAAGCTTTTTTAATAAGCCCAGTAATCGTGATGGTGTGGATAAACGAGGTGAAAAAAGAGGGATTGATGCAGTGGAGGATGAAGGACAAGCCAGTAAGACTAAAACTGACAACGTTCAGCCAGCAGCAGAGGGACAAGCAAGTGGCAAGGAAAAATAAATCATTCATATTCGTTTTGACATGAAAAGTGACCGCACGGTCGGTGTTTCTGTTCATCTTTTTTTCCCTCCATGCCCTTAAAAGTTCTGTATGAAAAAAGGAATGAATGAACATTTGCTGCTTAGTACCCAAACATAAATATTAAATATGTCTCATCATTAAAACATGAAAAATAAAATGACGGGTAATAATGGATTATGACGGAAATGTTATGATCCTGTCCGTCAAAATGACGGACAACGAAAATGTCTAACGCAACCACTGCCGGGGACACATATTCATGTATAAAAGACGTACAAAAGTGCATTTTGCATGATAGGACCCCTTTAACAGACAATAACAGAAAAGGTGTGTGTTGTCAGCAAAGACTGTAAATACATTTGAATATATTTAAACTCTTTACTTTAAAGGAACAACAATCAAATCAACTGAAACAGACAAAGTGTCTCACCGATGCTGTCCAACACGGCAATCTTAACATCATTATTCTCCTCCTTATACACAGATGCGATCTTTAGGAAAGCTTCAGCTGTTTTTGAAGCATCAGATACATCCACCTGCACACAGAGAAGAAAATAAACACTCACTGATGGCCACCGTGTTTTACAGAGTTGATAAAGCTCATCATATGTTTGTTTGCATCAAGGAAACACAGATTTATTAGCAGTAGTGTCTCTGAATATAACACCACACAAAGACATTTCATTTAGCCTTCAGTATGTTTCATTAACAGATCAGTGCATGGAAACTGGTGTACAGGTATTTGTGGATTCTGTGTTTACCTGCTGCTCGATCAGCAGCGCTCTCTTGGCTCCCAGTTTGAGCAGTTTGTCTGGAGACGGGAAGCTGAGGAAGGAGGAGACGTCTGGAGGCCGGGGGGCTGAGGCAGGGGTGGACAACTGAGAGGGAGGGGAGAGAAAGTCAAATAAACAACAGCATCAAACGTCAGGGAATATGCAGGAATCCTGAAGTCAAATGTAAGACCTTTTAAGACCTTTTTTAAGACCCTTTCCATACATTTTAAGACCTCATCACCACTTGGAGTTTTAACCGGTTACATAGGCGACACCCTTTACCTCACATTGACTATATACAGTATTGATTGTCCTTCCTCCTTATCTTCCAACCATTTGGACGCAGACTTGCATTTCCCCATAACGATGTTGTTTAACAACCGGCGTAAACGGGCCTTCGCGCGCTATCAAGCAGTGAGCGTGCGATGTCCTGTTCAGATGACGTCAAATCCAACGGGATGCCATAAATAAACTACACAGAATCACACTACACACCTACGCAATGATTACATTCAGGCAGACTGTAGAATACAACCTCTTTGGACAATTTATATACTTATTGAAAACAAGCTACAACATGTAACACCTTGGGAAATGACGTTTAATACTTTTTAATAGCCTTAATTTTCGCTAAATTGATTTATCAACTTTAAATACTTTTTAAGACCCCGCGGACACCCTGAACGTACACAAAACAACAGCTGGTGTGGCCTTACAATTGGATTTTCATTTCAGAAAAATGCTCCTAATTAATGGGAAAGTGAAAATGATCATCCAATTTCAAATTCCTTAGTCATCGGTTTTCCCTTTTTTTTTTGTCCAAAATCTTATCAGAACTATGAGAAACGGTTGGTGCTTATCGGATACAGCTTTTTTTGGACAGTCTATGATTCAAGCTGCTGCAAATAATTTCTTTAGTAGCAATAGCATCCCCTAGTGGCAGAAAACGTGGATTTGTCTGTAAAATATTAAAATTAGTTATTTATTGACTTTTAAAATGATCTACGGTTATTCAATGCAGCATCAAACTTGCTGATTGTCAGATAGAAATGTAATATTATTATACTTCTGTACAGGTGACATTTTGTTTTGTTTTGTCTGAGTTGATCTTACCTTGATGCCATTGCTATCATCGTCCTCCTCTTCTTCCTCCTCTTCCTCCTCTATTTCCTCGTCATCCACATCCTCGTCATCTTCGTCTTCTTCCTCATCATCATCATCTTCTTCCTCATCATCCTCCGGCTCACCATCATCGTCACTGAGGCAAATAAAAAAACGTTCAAAATCAAATACTGTGTTACTGTATAATAAATAAATCTACTGCATATGTGACCTGCTCCATCGAAATCAGTCGCATTGACCCGAAGACACATTTTGAGTTGGATACACTGTTGGAAAGAGGAGATTCCTAGCTTTCTAATGATATCAAGATTGTTGTTGTACTCCAAATATTAAGCAAAATATGTCACATTATATAATGACTGTTACCGAGTCATCATTTTGAGAAAAAGGCCTTCAAAGTTTCCTCTTCTCTGGAATCCATCGATCTGATTGGTTATTAGCAAATGATCAAAGTAGTACGGAGGGAAGATATTTTCGTTTGGATTACTGGTCTGGGGGAAGCTCGCGAGTGCGTGTGTATATACGTGTGTGTGTGTGTGTGTTTGTGTCATTTTGCGTGTGTGTGTATTGTGTTTGTTTCCCGGGGAGAACACTCACGAGAAACACCGGCTGTTGTTATGCCTGCTGTGACGTCAAGTTACTCCGTTCTCCGCTTGTAATTATGCCGTCACAAGCTTCAAAGTTGTATTTATCATCTGAATTTGCCGAAACAAGTTTAATATTCTGAAAGCCAAGACTTTGTTTATTTGAAATCAGATGAAAACAAACGGTAACGGACCCTGCCGTGTTATCTATGATTACTATACGCCTTACATTCATAATGTCAGTGGGAGGGGGAGCTGCGCTATGGAAGAGCAGGGTGCGGGTGAGAGCTGTCATCTTCCCTTTACAAGCTTCAAACATGTATTTATCGTGTGATTTTGGAAATAAAAGTTTCATATAAAATCAAACAAAACACCTGAAACTATTTTTTTTACGCAAATCCACGTTTATTTTGAAATGAGCCGTTGCGACTTCCGACTGATTTCAATAGAGCGGGTCACATATGTTCTATGTCACTTAGTACGATGTGATTACCTGAGCGATCCGAGGATATCGGCGATGTTCATGCCCTCCATGGCGTCTTTCAGAACTTTGCAGCCGTCCTCTCCGAGACAATTACCTGGAAACCAAGTTATTTTTTGTCTTTACACATTTATAAAAACAGCATTTTTCAAAAAGAATAACTACAAAAGGTAGATTTGGGAAGAGCAGAGTATTTTTACCGTTGAGGTCCAGTTTCTCCAGCTGATCCTTGTTCTTTACGGCGTGTGCCACAGCCAGAGCGGCTTCCTCTGTGATCTCACCAAACGACAGATTGAGTTCCTGTTGAGCGTAACAGATTATTTACTCATAAGGTGAGATACAATTCAATCGAAGGCTAAGAAAATAAAGGCTTTTCATAATGAAATGTATATAGTAGAATAGATAGAATAGAATAGAATCGGAGGGATGAAACCCTCTGTAATGGTCGCACATACACAGCACACAGTGAAATGTGTTCTCTGCATTTAACCCATCCTAGTACCAGGAGTCTAGTACTAGGAGCAGTGGGCAGCTAGTGTACAGCGCCCGGGGAGCAATGGGAGTGGGGGGGGGAAGGGGGTTGTCCGGTGCCTTGCTCAAGGGCACCACGGCAGGGCCCAGGAGGTGAACTGGGACCTCTCCAAGTAGCAGTCCACACTCCATATTTAGGTGGTCCCTTACATCCTCAGTAGTATGTGTCTATTGGCATTTAGATTGAGTAAATTATGTAACAACAAAAATCTCCTCAGATTAGATCAGGTACAGTGTAGTATTCATTAGGGCTGGACGATATATCGTGTCGTGACGATAATCGCGATATGCCCATGCGCGATATTCACATCGCAGGACGTGCGATTCTTTTTTTTTTTTTTTAGGACTTGCGATATTAAGTAGGCAAATGAACTCAAACACGTCATGTTACAATAATTTTTGCTGCTTGCTACAAAAGGAAAACTCACGCGGCTCTCATGTCAGGGGTACTTGAGTGAGTGACAGCAAACCACCAATCACAATCAAATCTCCAAAGCAACCGGACCCGGTGATCAAAGGTAAAAACAGTGAATAAAGTAGTTTCATGTGTTTCTCCAAGGCAGTTCGGCGCTGCTAACCGAGCTAGCTCAGCTTGTTGCTCTGATAACTTAAGATCCAGACGTCCGTGACTAAAATCCTTCATCCGGTTAAATATAGTTAGAAAAATACCAATTGTATAGCATTAAAGTTCAAGAAAGGATGGTTTGCGGACAAAAAAAACGGTCTGTATTTTTTCATATCGCAATATATATCGCAGGGGAAGAAATATCGCAATGTCAGTTTTTTCCAATACCGTGCAGCCCTAGTATTAATTTACCTTTAGTATTGGTAGTCCCTCTGATACAGTTTCTGCGATGGCGATGGCTCCTGCCGGCCGCACCAGACAGTCTCCAAAGTTTATCACCTGGATGCTGCGGAGATGTTTCAGAGCCTGTGAAGGACATGGAGGTTATTCACTACAGCTTCAAACCCAGAACAATTATTATTATTAGCAGAAGAACTGAAACAAAAGCAGACTAATTGGAGAATCATTTTCAAAAATATAATCAAATATTTAAGAAATGTAATTCCTTGTTTATCACCTTTAAAGCTCCACTGATCATTATTTGACATAAACAATGTTTTTAAAAACCTATTTTACTGTTGAAACGGCAATTAAACTACTTACGACCTTTAAACATGTCTTTACAATCTGATTTAGAACTGTTGCACTGTAGGTGATTCTTAAAGACACTTAAGGATCTTATCAATAAAAGTGAGTTCCTTAAAAACAGATCAAGCAAAAGCAGCACTTTAAATCTTGTGTTTACCAGCGATGGGCTTATGAGTTGGAAATGAAGGAAATAAAAACATTAAATAACGACTTATTGGCTTAAGACATTTGAGGGGACTTCCCTTTCTCAGAAATGATACATTTGATGGCGTAAGGGTTGATGGTGCGAGGTAAGCATCAGTTGAACTAAATACATTTTTCAAGAATCATTTTCAACCAAGATAATTTCTCTGTCAGAAACTGTCTCTGAGCTACCTTCAGTAATGATACCAGTGTGAGGTCAGTACCTGTGCCATGGCGATGGCCCCCTTCTCAGTGAAGGTGTTGTCGTTGAGGTTGAGGATGCGCAGGTTGGGGTTGTTCTGCACGGCTCCAGCCATCGCCGTGACGCCCGGGTGATTGATACCGTTCTGCGGCACGTTGATCTCCTCCAGGCTGCCCATCAGCTGGGAACACAGAATGTAAATGCTAAGATTACTCTACCTTCTCGGAGATCTTTAGCAGGATGTCTACAATAACAGCACCTCGCAACAAGTATGGTGGATTAGAAGTAAGTTCTGTACCTTGAAGGCTTGAGCGAGAGCGGTGGCTCCTTCGTTCTCCAGGCGGTTCCTCCCTGCCACGAAGGCCTTCAGGCCGAGGGGGGTGCCCTCTGCACTGGACGTCTTATAGCACTGGATCAACGCGGCAGCCAAGATCTGAGTCCATGAAAACAGGTGTGAACATTTCTGCTTTGGAAAATTCTCTTTTCCTTAAGGCTGCTATCAATAAATCAGAAACCATCTCCCTTTCTGTCATGATACCCAATCCTTATTCAAATACCCAGCAGTAATGCAAGAGGCAAAACAGGCTGAATAAAGTGAATTATATACAAATACACAGGCAAGAAAGGTATATACCCTGACACAAAACTGTTCACTAGTGGATCTAAATGTTACTTTGGCAAATGCTCCACCACAACCACATCTATTTGTATTTGGTTTTATATGACAGTCTAACACATATATACTCCTGAGATGACAAACTGTATAAGCAGACACAAACTGGTGTAGGTTACTGTTGACGTACCTTTCCCCCTCCGATGCCCATGCCACAGTTGTTGAGCCGCAGCTCCTGCAGGGTGTAGCAGGCGGTGCTCTTCAGCAGCCTCTCGATGCCCTTCACCCCGTCTGGACCGAAGGCGTTGTCACTGAGGTCTAAAACCGTCAGCCGGGCGTTTGCCAGCATCAGAGCGTCACCCAGAGAATTCTACATCACGAGGGGAGAAAGAGATAAGATAAATGGCAGGATAAATAGGGTAAGAAAACCTGCTTTAAAAAGGATAATGATATTAAAGGAGAAGACTATTACCAGGGCCGGTGGGATCTCAGAGCGCAGGCGACCTGTGAACATGTCACTCCAATAACAGCGCTGAAAGAGAGACAGTAAAATATAAACAGTGTGAGTAGGGCTGCACAATTATTCAAAATGTTATCCAAATCGCAATATGGACTAGTTCATATTCAAATAGCAGAAAGCACAACATTTGTTAAAGTCTAAAAATGTGTCAAAATAAAAAATGTTGAAGTATTGTGGGACAGCAGAGACAGACCTACTAGAAAACATATTTGAATGGTTCAGATCCGGTTAAAAATACAAAACACCATGATCATTTCATATATTTCATAATGATAATGAGAATAATGATGCGAATGATCAAACCTTCCAATATAGTGTATCAAATTAATATTGCAATATCAGTCTAAATAATTGCAATCCGCTGTTTTTTCCAAATCATGCAGCCTTAAGGTGTGAGAGACAATCTTAAATATACTTTGTGATTTAAAACTGGGCATACTTATGTCTAATATGTTATTCATCAGTATTATGTTAAATAAAGCTGAAACAATAAATTATGAGTTGCTCAAGAGATATATATATATATTTGCCGATATTTTAGTAATTAATTAATTGTTTGAACAGATTTGTCTTATGTTAATCTAAATATCTTTAGGTTTTTGAGTGTTGGTTGGACAAAACAAATAAGCAATTTGTTGACATGATCTTAAGTCAATTATGATGGCCATAATTCACTATTTTCTGATATTTTATAGACCAGTTCATATTTATCAGTTAAAAATACCACTCAGTTCCTGGTTACAGTGTCAGAAAATGTGATGATTGAAATCGAGAAGGATCGAGAATAAACACTCCAGACCTTGAACTTGCTCTTTGTCTCGAGGGCCTTGGCGATGGCCTGAGCTGCCGCTACACCGATAGTGTTTCCCTCCAACCTCAGAGCCTCCAAGTCCTCAAAGTCCTGGATCTCCTTGACGATCTCCTCCACTGTCAGGGCAACAGGTAAAGGGTTAGGGGGTATCTATTTCTGGTAATTACAATAGCGATCATTAGGGATGCTCCGATCGATCGGCCGCCGATTGTTATCGGCCGATATTCACTCTCTGCCGATCGATCAGTGCTCTCTATAAAGGCCGATCAGGAGAGCCGATGACATGACGTAAAATACATGACACTTTTCTCTGTGCGCGGCAAAACAAGCTCGCCAAAATGGCTTCACCAGTCTGGCAGTATTTTAAGGTGTCCGAAAAAGACAGTAAAATAGCGGTATGCAACGTGTGTGAAGCAGAAATCCTGCAGCTCCACCCGCTGTGACGGACCGGTGAGCGGAGCGAAACACACACTAAGAGTTAGACCTAACACACTTAGCTATTTTATCTACCTCTGGAACAAGCTAAACTAGTTATACATATATTTATTCTTCACTGTCGGGTCACTCATTACTGGATCAGTGAGCTGCATCAGAGATGGAGAGAGAGAGAGAGAGAGAGAGGGAGAGAGGAAAAGAGAGCGCTTCCGCTAATTTCTCCCGTGCTATTATCCAAAGTTAATGTAAACTTGAATAAAGTACTTAATTTGAATGTAATAATTATGTTGGTTGTTGTTTGTGGAAGCGCATCATGTATTGAAAAATGTATCTGAACTTTTCGATCCGTTGCGATTATAAACTGAAGCAATATAAAAATGAGCCCCATTAACTGAGTTTTAAACATCACTTTAAATGTGAGATTAAGATCCCCATAGCCCCCACCCACCCGATCGGACCGGCCCCAAAATTCCGGTTGGAGCATCCCTAGCGATCATCAAACAAATGACAAGGAATTGGCTAAAAGATAATAACTTAGTAAACTCACAATGGAATAACTTAGTAAATGAAATCTATGTAATGGAGAAAACTACTATGAGAATTAGAAACCAAATGCATTTCTTTGAGGAAAGGTGGGAAAAATGGGTCAAGTATAGCTGAGTATTAACAATGTATCCATTATTTTATTTGTAATTATTATTACTATTATTTATTTTCGTATTTGTGATCTGTTATGTAGTTAATCTATGTACTGTACCTAGATGTGTTTATTCTGTTATGTATGCTTTGAGAATATTTTCTTAAAATGCAAAGGAAAAAAAGGGTTAGGGGGTTGGGAAAAGGGAGATGGAGTGTTCTAATAAAAAAATAGTTAAAACAGAGATTGTAGTGTGTCATTCGAGTCTGTCTCTCACCTGATTGGGCATCGTCCAGCTTTCTTCCCTGGCCTTTGTAGCTCAGCTCTCCATCTTCTACTCCAGTTTTAGCCAGAGATTCGGCCAACTGCGCAACAATGTCTGTCGCCATCGCCTGTGCACAAACAAATTATTTAGTTTTTATTATAATCCTGACGTCCAGTGACAGAACGTGTTTCAACAGGTAGCACCCTAAACACTTATTACAAGTATATAAGTCAATAAAAACCCAAACAGAAAGTAATGTATGGATAATCTTGCTTCAAACCACCTTATTTTTTTCTGAAGCTTAGTTCAATAAGAACTGAAAGCGAGGTTTTCGGTGTAATATATACATTTAAAAGTTTACAGCAGTTGACATTTTATTCATGGATGTTTTAATATTTAATCTGTATGCTGAATGGTAAAGAAGCTTTTAAGATTTGTCTTTTTTTCTGTATACAATTAAAAATACCTTTGCTATACTACGTTTTTGCACAAATATTTAAGTTTTTACTTGATTTCATTTCAGCTGTATTTTATAGCTTCTTCGCAGATTAAGAGCAATATATAAATATATATAAAACTATTCAACCAATAAACTATGATACACTTATTTCATTATTATAGCTTATGTTATCAAGCAGTATATAAAGTAACTGAAATCAACCACACATTTAGCAGCTGCAATGCTGAAGTGATAAACACATTACTTATTATAATTCAATAATATGGGTCTGAAATGAGCCATTCTGCATAATGAGTACTTAGTGTACTTTATAGTCTCTACTATATTCTGATGCTAATACTTTTGTAGATTTTGAATTCAGGACTTGTACTTACAACACTGTAGTATTGCTACATTAACTAAAGTAAAAGACCTGAGCACTTCTTCCACCTGTCAAATCACTGTTGTTTTGGGGTAGGTGTTTCCCTGCCTGCGGTTAGCATTAGCCGAGTGCTGCTGTTGTTGTGCTATCAAACCTAGACGGTTTAATGCCAGTGGAGCAGGTGTTGCTGCTGTTGACAACTGTCAGTTCAGGGGCATATCGTGCTTTTCAGACACTTAACAAACTCATTCAAGTGGCAACATTAGCAGAAAAGGGAACATGTAGTCAGCTAGCTAGCACTAGTTCGTGGGACAGAGCGTGGCTTTGCTTGGCCTCTCGAGTCGGACATATGGAAACCGTTGGCAACTAAAAAGATGATATTCTTACCCAAACAGTCCCTGGTTGAATTAAATGAATACAGGAACGCTATTGCATTCATAGTACTAATACAAACTGTCATAGATATTACCAAAACACTGCTGTGCTGATTGAATCCAGTCCAGTCACACGCTCCCGCTCGCTACTAGCTTTCAAAACTGATCCCAGCGCACGACACTAGAGCGCTTGACGGCAATAGAGCTGGGAGGCAAGGGACTTGTAGTCCAACAGAGACTACAAATGTGTTGGAAGCGTTTACCTTCATTCCAGTATATCAGTTGGTCCAAAATTCCAAAACGTAACTAAGCATGATTTATAGTATCATCATTACAGGCCAATATTACCAGTCAAAAGCAAAGTCATGACTCTCCTTTTTGTTGATCAATATTGTAATCTTTACATTCTACATATAAATGTTTTCCATTCCTTTGGCCTTTCTTCTTTTTGTTGAATAACTCTCTTACATTGATTTTTAATTTAATTAATTTGGTTATTTAAGTAACTTTTTAACGTTTCTTTTTGTTTACTGTTATTGCAGTTTGGCTGTTGACTTTGTGTTGTTTGCCTTAATGCAAAATCTGTCAGGCACCACTTGGGTATTTTAACCGTTATTGAGGAATGCATTGTATTATTGTACCCATACACAATGTTAAGTCAAAGAAAGAACAAGAATAAATTGTGTTTGGATTTATTGCAGGAAATAAGGGTATAAGGGGGACAGGTTTATGGTGTGTGAGCAGGAAGTGGTGCCTGTCAGACTTGACTTAGGGATATAAGCTCATACTCATTTAAAGGGCCAGTGTAAGGTTTGTAGTTGGCTGATAACATTGGTGTTGCTGGAAATCGAAACTTATCAAGTCAGACACGGAGGCTCGGCGGGTGTCTTCCTCCTCGGCTGGCTGTTTCTCAGCGTCAGCTCGACTAATATATCCTCAAGAAGTGACTCCGTCTTTCCGCCTATTTGGAGATTAAATGGCACGCTTTTAAACTTAACTTCAGTCCAATGCACTTCCTCGCTTCATCAGGTAGGTGTGTCGGAAGTCACTCACGCCACGATAGGCAGGGACCATAGACTGGCAGGGACACATGCGGGAGTCAGGGGGCTTGCATGCTAGATGTTTGTGCATTTTTTTAAACAGTGGTGTAATGTGAGGACATTTACTCAAGTACTGCGCTTGAATGCACTTTTTGAGTGCCTTGTGCTTGACTTGAGTATTTCAGTTTTTTGCTATTGTGTACTTCTACTCTACTACAATTCAGAGGTAAATATTGTACTTTTACTCCACTACATGTATTTAATACCGTTAGTTACTTTTCAGATATGGATTAATAATGTGAAATATAGAGAACACTATGACTTGTTACACCTGGATTAAATTCACATACCCTGCAGCATTCAAAGTAATTTAACTAGATTCCCAGCTTTGATAAACACATTACTGCATCAATAATTATAATCAAAACATATGATGTATATCATTCTGAAATGGACCAATCTACTTAATGAGTACTTTGACTTTTGGTGCATTACGTTTATTTTGGTGCTAACACTTTTGTACTTTTACTTGAGTTACATTTTGATTACAGAACTTGTACTTATAACAGAGTATTCCTACACTCTGTTACTTCTACTTTTACTTAAGTACAAGATCAGAGTACTTCTCCCACATCTGTATTTAAATACTGAATGAACATGAAGACAGGCTCGATGGTTGTCTTTGCATAATTTGACATGTAGGTGTTTTGTTTTTGCTCTTCGAGGAAATTAAAGGCTTATTTTTATGGGCCTTATCACAGTCAGGCTTTGTTACAATCTACTTTTGTCTGTTTGTCTTCTCTCCAGGGAACAAGCATGGACCCTGCCAGACAGAAACGCCAGGAGGAGATAACCAAAGCCCTGACTTTCATACAGTAAGATGTTTTCAGTGACGGAAAGTGAAACCAACCGTTCCCCTGAATGACTCATGCCTTTGCTCATAACCAGTATGTTTCTAAACTAATATTTACTTGTTTTCTAGGTCTTCACTAGCGTATCCAGAGCCGGATGGATACCAGGTACCAGTTGTTACTACGAGCACAATGTTATGTCTTCTCCCTATGTCACTTCCCTTTTGCAATGTGGGATTTATGCTTGTTATGATCTACAGTCACTTGGCCATAACTCACAACCCCAAGCCCCATTAGCTTTCTGTTTCGTTTCTCCCTTGAATTCCTCTGTCTATCTTTTCCTCCCATCTTTCCGTCCATTCTTGGCTGCATGCAAATCAAGGATCTATTCTCACATACTTTGCCCACTCTTCATATCCTTTGATATTCAAGTTTATCTCAATACTTACTGAATAGTTAGGCTTACATTTTGCATGTCTTGCCACCACATTTTGTAAATGGCCTAGGGACTATGAATCAAAGTTACTTGATGATCCACTGACCTTGCCTGACCTGGTGAATTACTAAATACTTGCTCAATGAATCACCTTCCTGTTATCCTGAGCTGTTCTTTGTTGTTTGTGTGTGCTAATGAGTATATTTAAGCATTAGGGCAGCAAGATTAGTAAACAAAAATTACCTCATTCCGAGTTTTTCAAATCAGATTTTGTCACGATAAAGGAAGGATTTATAATTTTCATTGTGTTGTGATGTCTCTCTTGTCTTTTAAGAAGTCTGTAGGCTATGATTTGTAGTTTAGGATTCCTCCACAATACTTAATTCAAAATGTTTTTTTAATCACTTGCTCTATATATATTATACACAAATATTCTGCATTCACAATTACATTTTTTAACCAGCCCATATTCCGCTTTTGATAACATTTAGATGAATTGTGCAGCCCTGGGAAGCATGCATAAATAGTGACCGTTATTGTATTATAGAAGTCATTGTGATAACTAGATGTAGTCTGTACCAATTCCTAGACTATAACATAATTAATTAAACTATTTTGTTTTTAACTGCTGCACATGGCATATATAAACAAAATAAAGAACATGGTGTTGAAAGTGTTGTGACTACTCTACTTCATGATATGACCCAATGTTTTTAAGACACGCCACCAGCATGATATCCCCTTCTTTCCTTTCCTTTCTTCTAGGACTTCCTCACCAAGTTGGTGTGCAATCTGCTGGATGAGGGCAACGCCTTCTTCAGGGACGAGGACTGGGAGCAGGCGGTGAGACAGTTCACTGAAGCCTTGAACGTCTCAAGCTACGCTGAAGCCGAGGAGATCCAGATCCCCGAGGTTTTGCTGGAGAGTCTTTATGTGAACCGGGCTGCTGCCTACCACAGCAAGGTGAGAAACAGCTGGTCCATGAGTTTCAGTTGTGTAGAAACTTGTGAAGATGAAGTGTGTTCTGTCTGTGTGTTGTTGTGAAATGGGTGCAGCTGTGGCTAAGGCTTGTGACAAACGCGTCTCCACACCCAAATCTGATCTGTGTGTTAGTCAATCAGTTGGGGAGACAGATGAAAATGCATCAACCCACAGTAATGACAGGTTGAATCCGTATCAGAAGTCCTTTATTTACAGCATTACACCAAAGAGGACAGTGTTGATAAAAGGCAAAAATAAAAACAGTAGACTAACATTTTAAATAAAGAGGCAAGCATGTGCTCAAAAAATGTAGACATCCAGGGTAAAACAAAGAGTAGCATCTTTTAATAATGAACATATAAAGGTGTTGAAGTAGCAGTCAGTAGTAACCATTAGTACACACAAAATATGTATAATGTGTTTTATAGATAAGATTAAATAAAGGGATTTTTCAACCTGCTTCAACTTTTATTTAATTGTAGCAGTTAATCCAAGACAGCTTCCTATCAGAAATATATATTCCTATTTATGAATAATGTCTAATTTATTATGGGAAAGTCCAGCTATGGCTCAGGAGGTCGATCAGTCAGCCAGCGCCGCAGTCTACATATCAAAGTGTCCTTGGGCAACATATCTAAGCCCAAGGCCAACAGTGTGTATGTGAGTGTGTGTGTGAGAGTCTGTGTAATCGGGTGTATGGCAGCCTCTGTCTCTGAATGAATGTGGGTGAATGTTGACTTGTAAAGTTTGAATAAGTGCTATAAGAATGCCGTCCATTTACCATTTACTTAGAATACAATCCAGGGCCCATGTCCACATACATGTAGCGCATCAGAAAGGTGATGGCAGTGTGCTATGTCAATAACGTATCACCGCTGTTGCAAGACTGACTAGCATGGATTTTGTCATCTGTTTATGCTACTATATATTTTTTCACAATAGTTTTTTCACTATATACCAACGAGAAGATTCTTGTTATTACACTTTATGAATGAGTTTGTTGACACCCATAAAATGACGGAGGAGGACAATAAAAGTCACACACTCATCGGCAGCAGCACCCAGCTGGTCTGCTCCAACAAACGGGTTTTAAAGGAGAGGTGTCATGCTTTTCCGGTTATTATCCATCCCCTTGTGTGTTATGAAGGTTTTTATGCATGTAAACGGTGTGCAGAGTCACAAACCCTCAAAGTACACCCTGTAGCGAGTAAAACTCTAACACAGAAAATACCTCCCCAAAACGCCTCGTTGGAGATTGTCCATTTGATTCTTCCGGGACGGCATGATGTCAAGCCGTACCCGGAACGAAATGGACCAATCCGTGGAGCCGTTACGTTACGTCCGCAGAGCCGTTACGTTAAGCCCCCGCTGATTGGTCCAAATTGACCAATCCATGGACTTCCTCACACACACATCTGTGTGCAGGGAGCAGGCAGCTCAGCTGATTTCTCCTCCCTGGCTGCAGGCTGATAACAGACAGTTGGGATCGCGGCGAAATTCTCTCTGCAGACCCGTTCTCACAGCGTTTATCAACCTTTTTCTTACTCAATATCAAGCCACACTTATTGTTTTTACTTCGGCTGTGACTTTGTGTGTGCTCAGGATGAGTTTGGCTGTGTTTCGCAATGTATCCTAAACAAGGAAACAACACCTCCACGGAGCTCAGCGCGATTCACAACGTCCCGACCAATCAGAGCACACTGTGCTCACAGGGAGGGTGGGGGCTGGAGCTATTGGAGCTACAACGAGCCGTTAAAGGCAGAGAGTGAAATTCAGTGAATACACGTAGTTTACAGAGATGCTGTATGAGAAACCAATGTGAGTTTGGAAAAATGCACAATATAAATCTATTTTAGTATACCTCAACAATGAAATTATGATCAGTGGAACTGGCCATGACACCTCTCCTTTAAGGTCTTTGTTATGATAGTTTCCGTCTGACAGACATGGCAAAAAACAAGCTTTTCATCCCATTTCTACAGTGACGTCAACAGCGCTTTTCTAGGAAGTTGAAATGTTTTCATAATATTTTAGTTGAGCGGTCGCACAAAAACGGCTGAACACTCGGAAAACAGACGCTGGGCCTTTTCTGGAGGCGGTACATCCGACGACATGTGCTCAGTTCTCATCTGATTCAATTGAAAAAAGATACATTTTCAATTTACACTTTCAATTCAGACCTGGAATTGGGAATAACAATCCCCAAATCTCTGATATATTTTAACTGACAAATAATATTTAACTGCCTTTTTTAGGGCTGTTCAGGCAAATCACAATGAAGTTATCTGTAAATGTACACTTCAGATAATGTACAAAATAAAAATAGACTATAAACTCAGTAAAATAATTCCCCCAAAGGAAGCATTTCTGTCCTTGCAACCCCTCACACCCAGTGGCGGCTCCAGAGTATTTTTGTTGGGTAATCTATGGTAGGGCTAACCCATACAGTGGTGGGGCTCAAATCAGTATTTGCAATGTAAATACATACACGCTATATCGCCCCCCCTTGACAGTGAAACGCCATGCATGAGGCTTAGATTATTTCCCTGTCTCATGCAAAATGACATCGAGAGCAACGGGTGTGAGTTAAACCAGTGGTTCTCAACTGGTCAAGCCTCAGGAGGACCCACTTTTTTCCTTGGTCAATAAATCGCGACCCAAAGATATAATACCAAAAAAAGTGCAGTAATATATGCTTCTCAGCATCCACTTTTAAGTACAGTGCATACATTTTCAGTAAATGTGGTCCATGGGAATAAACTCACATCCTCAACATTGTTTGTGCCATGCGAGGCAGATTATATCCCTTCACAGAACTACAGTATGCTTTTTAAACAAGTTTAAACGGATGATGGTCATCAATCCAAATTGAACTGTATGAAATAAAAAGTCACATTTGTCTTGTAGTAAATAAAAAAGGGCGACCTGGAGCCAATCCTGCAATTTCCCCACAGGTGAAAAAGGTGACATGTTGAAAAAAACGGACTTTTCACTGTGATCTTGACGTATGATAGTAAACGTTGGAGATCCAATGGGGATACTGAATAATAATAATCCTTATTTATTATAGCGCTTTTTCAATGACTCTCAAAGCGCTCCTTACAAATACACATTACACATACATGTAATGGTCATGTACTGTGGACAATACCCACAGGAGCAAATTCGGGTGAAGTATCTTGCCCAAGGACACAACGGCTTGACGCAGTGGTGGCGGAGGAGGGTTTCGACCTGGAGTTCCCCAACGCCCCTGTAGGAGCCACATTTGAAGTATTTTTTTCTGTGTTTATTACGGTACATGTTTTTGAGTCACTATAGGTGGTGGGCGTGTCAAAGGATTTGTGTGGTGACGTTTGCGGTTATATCTGGTTGCTTTTACCTGCGCACTTTGTGATAGATGGAGGGGGAGTGAGCTGGAGAAGGACACTTTTTGTTGACCGCACGCATGCACGCATAAAAGAATATACATATGGATATGGACTATTGAACTTTTGCTTTAAAAATAAAAGGTCAAACGCATACTGTTGGAAAGACTGAGTTTTTGCGCGTCCACAATGTTTTTCTCTTGTTTAGTCCCTCGCGGCACTTTGTTTAAAAGATTACTGCCGCAATAGCCCCCTTGATCTGATGATCAAACGCACAGCCCACTGCGCCACCCCGCCCAGGGTATTGTTGAAATATCTCCTGAACTTCCCCACTCAATCTATCAAGACCCGAGCAGTTGTGTAGAAGTCCAAGGTAAGGCACGGGCCGGCGCACATCGCTCAAAGTAATCCCTCGCCATATGAACTTTGACCCTAGGAGATAGAGGACAGAGGTGGAGAGGCACAACGTGGCGGATCTGAGTGATCTCAATCAGTAATGCGTGACGCAGACCCAATGTTTCGTTGCTCTGATTGGCTGTAGGTTTATTCAATTGCATTCGGAGGCATTTTGATCTGACCGCGGCCGCGCTGATATTATAACACCAGAGAATTTCCACACCTTTAGCATTTTGCTTATTTAATTTGCTTACTTTAAAATAATTTTTCATGGTGGGGCTAAGGTGGGGCTAAGCCATTTCTTGGTATGGCTGTAGCCTACCCCAGCCATACCCTGGAGCCGCCACTGCTCACACCTAAACCACAAAGCTTCTCTTTAAAACCAAAGAATATTGATCTGATTCTGACACTTTTAACCCCGTTCTTTATCTCTCTTCTCCCACAGGGGGAATATGAGCGGGGCGTGAAGGACTGCGACCGAGCTCTGACGGTGTGTAAGGAAAGCCGCAGGGCTCTGTTCAGGAAGGCCCTTTGTCTGAAGGAGCTCCGGAAGTACAAGGAGGCGTACAACTGCACCACAGACTGCCTGCTGATCAACAGACTGGTAAAGAAAAGACTGCCAGTGAAAGTGGACACTAATCAGTCTCAGAAAATGACTTTCATTTTTTAAATCAGACGGTGTCTCTTGAAGTGAAATGCTCCATGTATGCAATGAGCAAATGTGTTACCTGAGCCAAAACAAAGCATCGCCTTGAGCACATTTTCAGATCTACAGCTAAATGTTACACTACAATGTGTTTCTAAAAACATTGAAAGTAAAAAATAGGCAATGCAGTAACAGAATTTTTAGTCATATTTAACCAGCGCTGCCCTGTTTGACACGAGTTTAGGAGCAATAGTTGACAGCTTGGCTCTGATTGGTTGTTTCCCTTCGGTGCAGTGGAGTCCTGCAAATGCCATTTGGGAGTTTTAAAGAGGCAGAAGAACATTTCTTTATTTATCAATGTTTTTCTGTCTCATGCATCAGGATAGAGAGACAGTTGCTACAATATGACAGTTATCGTTAATATATTAACCAGCTGTAGCTTTAAATGTGTCTTTTCTTAGCATTTGTTACATGAACCTTAATTGCAAATAAATAGCTTTTGTGGACCAGTTCAACATGATATCAAGTGGGTGACACCACATTACATTACATTTAGCTGACGCTTTTATCCAAAGCGACTTACAATAAGTGCATTCGACGTGTAAGCTTTCTGCTGTCCTGATGTCAATGGGGAGCTCATTCCACCATTTAGGAGCCAGGATAGCAAACCCACGTGTTTTTGCTGATGGGAACTTGGGTCCCCCTCGCAGTGCGGGTGCAGCGAGCCGTTTGGCCGATGCAGAGCGGAGTGCACGTGCTGGGGTGTATGGTTTAACCATGTCCTGGATGTAGGAAGGGCCAGATCCATTCACAGCATGGTAGAGGCTAGAGACTTGTATCTTGCAAAATGTATTGATTTGTTATCTTTCTGTTTACCTCCTCACAGGACCAAGAGGTGAATGATCTCGCTCAGGAGCTGGCCGTCCATCTCAAACTGAAGAACCGGAAACCATATGTGGCTGCAAAGGTTAGAAAAATGATTACTGCTTAGATTTCTTCCAATATGAAAAGCAAATGAATCATTGGAAATTGTAGGTTGGGACTTTGATAAAATGTAATTAATGACATTACATTACATGTCATTTGTTAGACCCTTTTTATCCAAAGCGACTTACATACATTCAGTACTGTGGACAATCCCCACAGGAGCAATTTGGGGTGAAGTGTCTTGCCCAGGGACACAACGACATGTTGACTGCAGTGGGACTCGAACTTGCTACCCCCTGATTCGAAGTCCAGCACTGAGCCACAGCCGCCTCCTCGTTAATGTTAATATAACAATAAGCAATATAATTTTGGATGAAGGTATTTTATCACATTGATGCCGAACCCTCATTGATTAAATATGCAATGCAGGGGGCTATTAGCATCCAAAAATGTTAAAGAAATGGTTCCTACAGTGAAGAAAAATCTCCTGATAAGGGGATTCATTTAGTTGTGTCACGGTATCTTCATACTGCCTTGCTCTAACGCGGACATAATGCACATTTTTCTGTATTTGCTGTCTCTCATATCCAGTGTGTTGTTGTTTCTCCTCCAGGAAGGCGGACTCATCAAGAGAGCGGTCACAAACGGAAACACGACTGTTGAAGCCATCAAGGCAAGTTCCTCTCCAACATTAGATTTAATGAAAATGATTCCTACACGGCTCAAAACCCCAAACGTTTACATTTATTTATACATTTGAAAACCTCATAGATGATACAGGTTTCCCTGTTTAAAGATATATTACTGTTTTATTTGTCCTTTTTATTGCACTTATAATATAATATTAAATATTTTTATTTAATTTTATTCAACTGTCAGAAAACCAAATTTCTCCCCTGGTAAAAAATATGGGTTGTATTGTCCACAACCCATTTTATCTGTTTTAATTGTACCTATATTATATTGTTTTTCTCCCGCTCAGGTATCCAGTGCTCATGTAGGAAATGGTTTGAATCCTCTGAGTGGCTGTGCACCAGGTGGGAATTCTGGATTTGACTTGATCAGAATGAATGTTCTCCTCTGTCAAATTCTTGAAATAATGGTACAAAATCAATTACAAGTAAGATCTAATTAAATGCCCCTCTTTCTTCTCTTCAGTCAGTTTTCCCAGCATGCCTCAGTCCTCCGTTCCCTCCCGAGCTCCCAGCTTCAGACAACCTGCGGTCGCCTCATTTCCTGAAATGCTCGACAATCTAGACGACACAGAGCTGATGGGAGACGACCTGGACAGACTGCTCGACGACTTCCCTGAGGAGCACGCCCCGACTGAGGTAAAACCTGATTCTGCTGCAATGGGATGTACTAACAATCAAAATGTTATCGAAATCACAATATGGAATAGTGCGGAAAACAACTTCATCAGCAGGCTTATCCGAAAATGACCGAATGACACTCTGGCTGAAAGTTACAGCTTTTTCTAAAAGTTGGAAAGATATTCACAAATGCTTCCAGATTAGCTTTTTATTTGTGGAATTTTTTATAATGTATGTAAGTGAGCTTGAAAAGACAGACACAATAGAAAAACGATATGACTTTACTGTTAAACAGCCTTAAACACCATGAAAAGACAACACTCAGGATGTACCGATACCCAAGATATTAGGCCGTGTCTAGTCTCATGTCACAATATTGATAGAACATGAACGCCATAATACATCAAAACCTTCAAATGCGAAAGGTCGATCATGGACAAAGTGGCCCAAAGACCCTGATAGTGTGATGTAACCCTGCCTTTGTTAGCCCTACATGCCTAAATATGTATACTCGTATGCACATACTGTTGGAGCATCTAAGGAGATAAATGTGTATACGATTGTATAGATGTGGGATTGTATGTATGTATATTATGTATAATATTTTCTACAACATAGTAAGCATTTATTTTTACCCAGGATGACCCCGTCTGCTTTCATATTGTTTGTCTGGTCATTTTTTAAACCTTCAAATGCGACCTCCAAATCGAGCCATTGGGGCACTTTGTTCATAGTTCTTTACATCAATCTGCCCATTCCCCCTTTGTTTTCACCCATCATGACTCCAGTTTCATTCTTCCATGTTTTACAGACCCTCACCCAGGCAGTATTCCCAGCCCCCCGCAGGACACCCACCTCCGAACAGACCCTCTCTTTCATCCTTCCCGCTCCGACCCCTCAGCTTCCCCCGGCCTTCTTCAGCTCCTCCGTCAGCGAGCTCAACTCCCTGGACTCCTTCTGCGGGGTCATCAGCACCAACACTGGGGCCCTGGACGCCCTGGATCACCTCTTGACCTTTGGGATTAGCATTTCTCCAGAGTTGCCGTTGCCCTCCGTGGCGCTGGATGGTCTGGATGATCTGGATTGCCTGGATGACTTATTGGATAACGTTGCTGCTGGGAATGAGTCCATCTGTGAAGTGGAGGCAGGGGAGAAGTCTCTGGACGATCTGCTGGATGAACTGGATGAACTGGATCCTCTGAAGTCCGTTTGTGTTTCAGGAGGTCAGAGTGCCATGGAGGAGCTCGACTCTCTGGATGCCTTGGATTTGTTTCCCTCGGATGAAGGTGTTAAGGCCATTTTCCCACCAGTCTCCTTCGGGGCGGCAGGCCTGGACACGCTCTCCGATTTCAGCTCCACCGGTGATTATGATTAACTTGTTTTTATTGGCAAACACCTGGTGCCTCATTTATAAACGGTGTGTACGCTCAAAAGACGCACAGGCTGCAGTGGAGACGCTGTGCACAGCTGATCGACAGCTGGAACACAAACCACCAAATAAAAAAATAAACATTAATTGCAGTGACGTGCGGTGAGGTTCATGGCTGGTGAGGCACTGACTCACTGAGTCAGATTTACAAATATTATATTTTGACCTTAATCGAAATATTCGGTTATTTTCAAAAGCTTTTTTAGTCTGATGCTTCGATTCATTTTAAACAGACCGTTCAACAAAAGGATAGCCAAAATCTAAATATTGGATTGTTCTTTCTTAGTAAGATCCCATTTTCATTACAAATGTGGTCTTACCTTGACTTGAAGATGAAGTCCATGCTATCCTTCTGGACAACAATCTCTATTACTTTTTTGTAAAAGTCCTCCTTATCTTCCTGTAGTTTCAAAAGTCTAGTTTGTTGTTACGTCTACCGTCTCTGCGTAGAATTACAGTAGCAACAAGAACCTGTGGGCTCACATGCGCCCCCTTCAGTGCGGCAGAGGTTATGGCTGCCTCCCCTGGTGCATTTTCATTGCCGTTGAGACCAGCGAGCCTAAATATCATATATACGTGAAATAAGTTATTTAGAGACTATGGATGGCGAGGATAAATGTAATAAAGGGATCTACATACATTACATTGGTGACCTACAGTGAGATGGTAACAGGCATGTGCTTAGGGCCCGCTTTCCAGCCAGTTTCTCAGATCTCATCTGTGCCTCAACTCAGCCCACAGTAAATGGCTTGAGCGCGCTCACAAAATAAGTGCCCGCGCTAAATTAGTGCCCGCGCTCCAGCAAGTTACTCTGGGCTTACGAGAGGCAGAGCTCGTCCCTGCCTCACTTCTCATCGCTCCCGTAGCGGAGCTCGGCAAATTTGCTGATTTTGACTATAAAAAGCGATTAGAATCATACATAAATCACACTTACAACACAGATCAGTGGAGACATTTTATTATTATTACTATTTCGTTTTTCTTTAGTTGTTTTTCCGTTACATTGGAGTATGACAGGTGAGGCTCTGCCTCCCCTGCCTCCCCTGACTGCACGTCACTGATTAATTGACTCCACTCCGCAGGGATCCCCCGCTACTTTCTTACAGTTTCTCATCATGGGGGGGGGTCTCCTGTCCCCGGCACAAACACACTGACACACTGCCTGAGGAAGGTTATGTGTATTTTGTCATTAACTTTTTTCAGACCACTTATTTATTTATTTTGGTGACGATCCGACCTCCATGCTGCTACTCTGGTTCAAACTGCATCCACCAAACAATGTGATTTGTCTCCACCTTCCCAAAAGAACCAAAATCTGACACGATGTGAAATGTCTTTTTTAGCTGTTCTGTCGTCATTTCCTGCGATCTTCTTCATGCAGTCAGTCAAAATGAATATTAATACGGGGCGTTTCTTTGACTATTTATAGGCAAATATGGGCGTTACGTGAAGCCCGCAAAAGCTGCTTCGCATTTCGAGTTGATTGTGCGTCCTACGCCGTTACGCAGTGTTTTATAAATCGGGAAATGTCTGTGCGTATTTATTAGCTTTGTCCTACAGTACGTAAGCAACCTTCCCACGTGAATCCTACGCAATGCTTTAAAAAAGACCAGGGGCCTCATTTATAAAGGGACAGGCAGCAGGTGGCAGATCAGTTGACGAGTGATGATTTTTTTTTTTTTACATGCATTGTCTTGTTCAGCATGAAAAATATCAGATTTTGAGATAAATAAATTCATAGAGTTAACAGAATTATTTATTTCCTGTATATGGGACCAACAAGGCGTTTCTGATTCTGAGAAGTAAACATTTTATAATTTATTTTTAATATTATCATTATTTTATTCTCTTTACATTTTTCATAATTGATTAATTTCCAAAATTCAAGGATAAAAAAAGATAATTAAAGATACATTTATTATACCGCTTATTCAATATTGCATGTCCGTTCATCCGTTGCACTCTGAGGTTTTTTCCATTTGTTTGTAATTGTGGGGTTTATGGGAATTTTTCCTTGATAGAATTGCGCTACTTTTCAAAGATCATGCTAGTGTTTGCACATGTTTTAACCCATATATAACACATGTTCATATTATTCTAACTTGTTTTTTCTTCAGGTATCTCAGGCTCTCACGCTGCTGCAGCTCCAGTGATGCGATCTCAAAAGAATACCTCCAAAGTAAGACTTCTTATCTGGCTTGTGTTTCATGATCTCTTGTTGTCCGTTTTGTCGGTATTAACTTAAATCTTATTCTTACCAAGGCAACCAAGGAGAAGAAAAACCCCCCGCAGCTTGCAGTCACTCACCCGTTATCCTCCACCCACGAATTCCTGCAGGCCTGCACCGCCTGTTTCCCTCAGAGAGGTACGTCCATGTTCTTCTCTTAAACTACAATACTTTCAATGTTATTTAGCTGATGCTTTTATCCAAATCAGAAACACAATTCCTTTATTAGTCCAGCAGCGGGGACATTTACAACGTCACAGAAAAAGAGACATAACATTACCTTTTAGGTAAGCAATAATAGACAAGCTAGCATGTTACATATAGAGAAAAAGCACACATTAGAAATACAGATAAAGACAAATAAGTACTCATCAATTAGTAAAAAAAATTGAGTGGCAGCTTTTAAATAGGTACGTGTACATATTAAAGGTGGGGTAGGTAAGTTTGAGAAACCGGCTCGAGATGCACTTTTTGTTATATTCCATGGAATGCTCTTAACATCCCGATAGCAATGAATATCTGAAGTGCTTTGACAAAAAATCCATTAAAAAATGTCATCTGTGGAAGCCGTGGCGCTGTAAAAAGCACGACCAATCATCTGAGCCGGCCCGGCTAAAATAACTGGATGGTCTACCTGCCTGTCAGCCTTCCATCTGTGCACAAACTTATCTCGTGCCCTCATTGGTCATGTGCGCGTTCGTGTGTGTTGGAGGAGGGGCTCTATAAGGAAGTGGCAGATTTTCTCCGGTTGTGTATTTTCAAATTCTAGCGATCTCAAGCTGGTTTCTCAAACTTACCTACCCCACCTTTAAGGTTTGAGATACTTAAACAAACATGTTTAGCACATAAAAATGATCATCGTTATTGCATGGTAAAATTGCCCAAAAAGTGTATACATTGCACAGTACAGGTGTATTGCGTAAGATCCCAACAGTCTGTAAAGGGACTTACATTGAGCAGTTGTGGAAAGTAAATAGTTGCATTGACTCAAGTACTGTACTTAAGAACAACTTTGAGGTACTTGTACTTGAGTATTTCCATTTCATGCTACTTCATACTTCCACGCCATTTTGGAGGCAAAAATGGTCCCAATTACTTTTATCTGACAGCTTTAGTTAACAGTTACGTTGCAGGTACCTATAACTAATGAATAAATATGAATCAACTAATAACAAAAGATTATGATAATTGTATAGAAGGAAAAAAACAATGGTATGAATGCTTATTGAAACCCCGATGTACCTGAGGGATTCTTGCTCTTTTGTTTTAATGCACTTATTGTCAGTGGTGAAAGAAGAAATTAGATCCTTTTACTTAAACAAACATGAGGGCCCTTTTCTCCTAATCGTGTCAATATAACGGTCAGCATGTTATTTGAAATATTTGGACACAATAAGGATATCATTGGAAAGCTTTATCAGTGTGTGTAACTCAAAGTGTGTTTCTGGGTCGACTGATTCTGATACAGCAGGCCACACATGTCTCTCTTTGTGCCCCTACTTTTTTCTGACCTATTGAATCTTTTTGTATTCATTTGTTCTCAGGTCAGAGCATGTATTCATTTGTTCACAAGCCGGACCTGGTCCACAGCTGTAAAGGAAACATGTTGTTGTGTCGACGAAGAACCGACCCTCCTTCAGAGTGGACCAGAGTGAGACAGATCCCCAATTGTTCCTTCAAGGGGCCGTTTGTACTCTGCAGAGGTAAGCATCTCAAAATCAGATGGATCAGTTCTTATCTCTTGGCATTCATTGTTCTTGTATTTAAACTGATGTGTGTAGCGATTTGTGCGTGTCTGTATAAATATAGTGGTGTATTAGAATGAATAGGATATTGATGCTGAATTGCACAAACACTATTAAGCCAAATTCTTACAAGCCATGTATTACATTTAAACCTGTGTCCGTGTAATTCAGTATTTGTTTTTCCCATTCTTCTAATTTGTATCTACCAAATTACTCTTTAGTTCAGTGTCTATGGTTCGTCAAAATCAGCATTTTAACAAAGACAAACTTGCTAAACTTAGTAAAGTCTGTTGTTTTTTAGCTAAACAAGGTGATCAATACTTGTTTAGTTTTTTATTTTTGCACTGAGGGTCTTTGTTTCCTGTGTTTGTTTGTGTGACTGAGCAGACCCCATGCTGGAATGTGGGGGGTGGGATCAGTTCAGGCTAACCCGAGTTGACCCATCCTGTCGTAAATTGACCGTTTGTCCCTCACTTAACTGTTAGTACCCTAAGAGCCATTTCCAGCACTGATAACCAGTTTCAATCAATCAATCAATCAATCAATCAAAGTTTATTTATAAAGCACATTTAAAAGCGATTTTTGGTCGGGCCAAAGTGCTGTACATGTAATAAATACTACAATCAAGAGTTTCATGTCTCTTTGTGATTAATTGAAGGAGGGCAGTATGGATATATGATATAGTAGTTTTGGGTAAGGTAACTTATGTTTAAATGTATTTTCCCATGCAAACAAGGCTACATTCTCTTTCCTTGGTCAGAGACGGCTATATGAAAAGGAACTATTGATGACACATGAATTCAGGGAAGCCGTTAAAAAGGACCTGAAATAAAAATAATTTAACGTGACTTGTGAGTTAGGGCTCGGCAATATATTGATTTTACATTGATATCTTGATAGGAGGCTAGATATCGTTTTTTTAAAGCTACATGTCAATTTCTGAACCTACCAGACTGTACTATCATTTATATTTACCCAAAATGCAATGGAAAAATCCAATGGACTTTTTGTTTATGGAGCCCCTGTGATGCTAACTTCCGGTTCGGCCTACAAAAATATGTCGTCACTGCACCACTCTATTGCACCCTACGATAAATTTTCAATATCTACAATATTTGTTATATTTTCATATTTGATTGCCCGTGACCAGAGATGGCAAAAGTACACACATCCTTTACTCAAGTAGAAGTACAGATACTCGTGTTTAAAAAATACTCTTGTAAAAGTAGAAGTACTGACTAAACTTCTTGACTCAAGTAAAAGTAAAGAGGGCTTTGAAATGTACTTCAGTAAAAAGTACCCATAACTAGCAGCTGTTTTAAAGAGTACCTGACCTCCCTTTATATTAATAGAACAATAATGTCATTGTTAGCTAATGAATGTTTCCATGCTGAACAACGGCAACATGACAACGTTTTCATTGGTCCCTCTTCTTTAGAGAAGACCAGGAAATGATAGATACACGGATCGTGTTCAAATCAATAGGCACGCAATGACTCTAAATAATAATGATCACGCCACCAAACACACATTCAAACTAAAGGAACCAGCCTGTTTGGAAAATGAGAGAAGTAGAAAGTACAGGTATTTGTGTTCAACGTGTAAGAAGTAGAAAGTACAGGTATTTGGGTTCAAAATGTAAGAAGTCAAAGTAAAAAGTCGTCAGAAAAATAAGTAGTGGAGTAAAGTACTGATACCAGAAAAATGTACTTGGGTACAGCAACGTAGTATTTGTACTCCACTACTTCCCACCTCTGCCCATGAATGAGTTTTTTTTTTTACTTTTCAGAACTGCTGAGCTCCGGGGATTTGGGCAGATGTAAATTCGGAGAGGACTGCACGTTCGCCTACAACCAGCTGGAGATCGACGTTTGGATGGAAGAGAGGAAGGGGACGCTGGACAGACAGCTGCTGTTTGAGACGGAACGTTTAAAACTGGACCCCGTGGACAGCATCCTGCACCTTCTGAAGGAGAACAAGGGCGTGTTCGTGTTCCTCTGTCAGGTCAGTGCCCTTTTACTCATTATATTATTATATTTTATAATTTTGACGGTACAGACATAGTTTCGGATCTCTTCTTATGTCTGTTTAACCCAGGGGGGTCCAAACTCTTTTCTCCGAGAGCCACATACAGAAAAATATACGCAGGGCTGGGCCACTCACTAGAGGTATACTGCCTCATAAGTTCAGTTCAGTCAGACAACTCGCGTGTTTCTTAATATGTTTATTAGAAGCAGCATATAGTTTGAGTTTGGCGTCTAGGCTCGGGCCTCATCACTCCACAGATTTACAAAGAACATTGAGTGATGATTAGATAACTATCCCCCGAGCCTACAGGTGGAAGCTGGGGTGGAAGCTGGGGTGGAAGCTGGGGTGGAAGCTGGGGTGGAAGCTGGGGTGGAAGCTGGGGTGGTGGTGGGGCAGGCAAGCAGCAGCAACATGAAACACAGCAGCAGGAACATGTACGCAGCAATAGCAAGTGAACACAGCAGCAGCATAGCGAGGCAGAGGCAGGAAGACCTGGCAGCTTAAATAGAGCGGCATGTTTAGGAGAATGTGTTTGGTTGGTTGTAAGAGGGACGAGGTGCGTCACGTGTTAATGTATCATTGGTGCTCGAGTTGACTGCCTGAACTAGCTCGCAGGCTTCGCCCCATTTATAAGATAGCAAAATCAATCAAAAGTAGGTGCATGATGCTTGTGAGTGTTGGCAGCTCATCCCTTACAACAGAAGCCTCACATTGATTATAATAAGGAGAAATATGAAGGGTGTATTTCAAGCTTGTTATGGAAATAAGTCATTGGGCTTTTTTCTTATCAACTAAGATATGTTAGAAAATTGTTCCAACTTGAATTGACTGAATTTATTTGAAAAGTGGTCTTATTTATTAACACGTGAATACTACTGTGTAATATATTTTTACATTTATATTTGAGAAGTACAATATAAGACAAGCACAAGTTTAATCTGTGGGCCATATTCCATTATACTTTTTTAATTTGCTGAGGGCCGATTCAAATTGGCCCGCGGGCTGCATTTGGCCCCCGGGCCGTAGTTTGGACACCCCTGGTTTAACCTAATTATATATATATATTTTTTTTTATATGAATTATTTATGGATTTGTTTTAAACATCTTGCTGTCTATTATATTTTAATACTGCATACAGTATGTATATTCTTCTGTATCATACACAATGGATTGTATTGATCAAACAATAAATGCTGGAATAAATACAAAAACATTTATTAAATAAAGCTTAATGTAATTGATTAAAAATATAAGAAATACCAGGAAATTCACGGTCATTTATTTATTCATGTGTGTCTTTTATATTATACATCTTTCTTTATTTCTGTAAGTAACATTTGTACTATTATCTCTGTAGTTTTCTGTATGGAATCAGGTATGTTTACCTTTTTTTGTATGTGTGTAAATATCGTGATATAAAATATTTAATTGAATTCATATGATATACTTACTTTTATTTCTACAATTAACTCTTATTTCTGAGGGCAGTTGTATTGTGTAATAAAAACACAATATTGGAAACATAAGCATTACATTATGAACAGCATTTTATTGTATCATTTCTTTGTCTCATCTTCTTTTGTTGGTATTGTTTGTCTTCCTGTCTCTGTAGGAATGCTATGACGGTAAACCTAGGATCATCAGTAATCGCTGCAGAGACAATCGCACCACCTGCTCCAACCTGGACGCTCACCACACCTTCGATGCCAACAAGTGAGCAAGTTTACAACATATCTCCTCCTCATCTTACGCTGTGTTTCTGTTCACTAAAGTTCACCTATTATGCAAAACCCACTTTTTCACGTCTCTTCTACATCAACATGTGTCCCCTCTTCTTCATGTCTCTTCTACATCAACATGTGTCCCCTCTTCTTCATGTCTCTTCTACATCAACATGTGTCCCCTCTTCTTCATGTCTCTTCTACATCAACATGTGTCCCCTCTTCTTCATGTCTCTTCTACATCAACATGTGTCCCCTCTTCTTCATGTCTCTTCTACATCAACATGTGTCCCCTCTTCTTCATGTCTCTTCTACATCAACATGTGTCCCCCTCTTCTTCATGTCTCTTCTACATCAACATGTGTCCCCTCTTCTTCACGTCTCTTCTACATCAACATGTGTCCCCTCTTCTTCATGTCTCTTCTACATCAACATGTGTCCCCTCTTCTTCATGTCTCTTCTACATCAACATGTCCCTTCTTTTTCATGTCTCTTCTTCATCAACATGTGTCCCCTCTTCTTCATGTCTCTTCTACATCAACATGTGTCCCCTCTGTGTAAAGAGACTCTGAAGGTTTCAGGAACAAAGATGGGGGGGGGGGGGGGTTGTCGAATAATCGATTAATATTCGCCAGGGCTGTCCGATTTTCGATTTTGATCATGGTCAGTTTCTGGCATCCCTAATCTAAAGTAACAGACAGAGAATCAGCACTTTTGAAACAGGGCTGAAACAGAGGGGATTATGGGATGCTGCAATGATCTGTTTGGTGTTTGGAGCCAAACACTTCAGAGACATGTTTTGTATATATCTGAGGACCTTTAAAACATGCTTTTCTTCTCTCCCGTCAGATGCTTGGCGTTTGTGATGAGGACCCACAGTGTGAACTACAGAAAGGTCCGGCCCCTCAGCATCCTGTGCTCTTTGGATTTGTGCCGCCACGCCATCCGCTACGGCTGCCAGCGAGAGGACAGCTGCTGCTACGCCCACTCCGTCATAGAGCTCAAAACCTGGAGGGTGCAGCGAGACACAGGTGCAGGAATGAGTCCTAAAGCCGGGAATGAGTTAGCATTTTACCACTTCCAGGTTCCTTCAGCAAGTCAATGGGTTCTTTGAGTGTGTTTTGGATTAGAAGCGTGAAATAAGATCTGTGTTTAAGACGAGCTGAAGAGATTTTGTTTGTTCCAAGTCATAAAATACGTCCGTAAATACCCCACTGGTGAATGTCAAGCTTTTACGGGTCTTAAAACATGCAATTGCTAACAAAAATGAGACGTCATCTCACCGAACATTAGCCGCCTTTAGCTTAGTGGTGGTGACGTGAAGTCATGTGACCGTGATGTAGTTCCTTTATAGCCTAGCGTTAGCTTTTTCATTGTGTTGCAATAGCCTGTGATGTTTCTCTTGAATTGAATGTTGACTTTATCAATGTGTGTGCTTCTGTTATTCAGGTATCAGCCCTGACGAGATAGTGAAAATATCCACAAAGTATGCTGAGAATCAGGAGCAAATCTCAAAACAACAGAATGGAAATAGAGTAAGACATTTTTTTTTTTTTATAGAAACTACATAGTGTTTCTCCTGCATATATAATGGAATGTTAAATATCAATTTTTTTAACAGTGTCACCAAATCACTGCTAGTCTTATCAAGGTCTATTTTTCATTTTGTGTAACTTACATAATTATACATTTTCATTTCATATAAAATGTGTGTAGGTGTTGGCTAACGTGAACCTTTGAAAACAATGATTATTTTCTTGTTTATATGGGCAGCAGATGAAAAGTTAAATGACGGACATTAAAACTCTTTATAATTTGATTTTAAACAGTTGTCTTCTGGAGGCGTTGGGGGTAAACCTAAAGGAGGGAAGAGTCTGAACATGAATATGAAGTTTGTCTGTGCTCGCTGCTGGGCGGACCGCCGCATCGGGGAACCTGACAAAGCCCTGAAGTACTGCAGCGCTAAGGCCAGGCACCTGTGAGTAAAAATAATGAATTTACATAGACTGGGGAAGAAAAAAAAGTTTATTTTGCATGAACTGTTCAATTCAAATAGTTTGGGCTTCTTTGTCCTTTTTCAGTGGAAAGAAAAGTTAAAAAATACATATTTAAAGGTAGGGTAGGTAAGAATGGAGAAACCAGCTCGAGTGCGCTAGAATTTGAAAGTACGCAGCCGAAAGAAATCTGCCCCTTCCTTCAGACTTCCTTACAGAGCCCCTCCTCCAACACACACGAACGCGCACATGACCAATGAGGGCACGAGATAAGTTTGTGCACAGATGGAAGGCTGACAGGCAGGTAGGCCATCCAGTTATTTTAGCGGGCCGGCTCAGATGATTGGTCGTGCTTTTTACAGCGCCACGGCTTCCACAGATTAAATATTTGTATTTATTTATTGTCAAAGCATTTAATGTATTCATTGCTATCGGGATGTTAAAGGTGGGGTAGGTAATTCACTTCAGAAACACTTTTTGTTATATTCCATGGAATGCTCTTAACATCCCGATAGCAATGAATACATTAAATGCTTTGACAATAAATACATAACAAAATGTCATCTGTGGAAGCCGTAGCGCTGTAAAAAGCACGACCAATCATCTGAGCCGGCCCGGCTAAAATAACTGGACGGCCTACCTGCCTGTCAGCCTTCCATCTGTGCACAAACTTATCTCGTGCCCTCATTGGTCATGTGCGCGTTCGTGTGTGTTGGAGGAGGGGCTCTGTAAGGAAGTCTGAAGGAAGGTGTTAGGAAAATATCACTCGACACCGGGATGAGAATCAATAGTCAGGTACTAATTTATTCTTGCAAGAAGGAGCAGAGTTAAGTCACATACAAAGGATATGGTTCAACTCACACACATGAGGTATGCTGCTCAAAGGAGCAGGAAAAAACATCAAGCTTATATAGTCTAAAGTGAGGAGGTAACAACAAAGTCGTAAATCGGTTTGGTGTCGGGACATCTCTGGAAAGTCACATACTTCCTTCGCGCCACTGTTGCTCTTTGCCCCTCGAAGAAGTTAGGAGACAAGAAGAATGCGTCCTCTCAACATGAATTATGCCCTGCCTTCTCCTATCTCAGAAGAGGCAGCTGCAAGGTCACACACAGTATCAGTGCATTAAAACCCATAAGAGGAGACAACTTGCATTTTCTCCAACGGAAGGGGCAGATTTTTTTCGGCTGCGTACTTTCAAATTCTAGCGCACTCGAGCTGGTTTCTCCATTCTTACCTACCTGAAGAGCATTCCATGGAATATAACAAAAAGTGTTTCTGAAGTGAATTACCTACCCTACCTTTTAAGTGTTATTTTACTAAGTGAATTTGTGGCCATAGATTTCTCCTAAATGCAGCAGATGTTAGCATTGGAGAAATATGGAAGAGGATTAGAGCCACATGAGAAAAGTAATTTGGGATGTGACAAAAAGAAAAACTTTACTTTGAGACTTTAATCTCAGAACTCAAAAATAAAATCTATTTTGGTCACCAGGCCTTAATCCTCTTCCGTAGATAACAACTACTTTGTATATTTATTTACACAAGCTTTTTTTATTTTTTGTAGTACAAAACACAATGTCCTTTTCGTCTCTTCATCTTAAGGTGGTCTAGAGAGAGAAGCGTCCTGCTGGTGAAGTCTTTGGAGAGAAGTAAATGGGTCGAGATCAGACCGCTGCCACATGCCAAGAACTTCCCTGTGTATTATGATGTAGGTCTGCTCCCTCTCCCATTATGCTTTTTAATACAACAAGTAGTTTAGCAGGGGTCTTTCCCAATCTTTCTAGCATTTATGTCTTTTATCTGGTGCGATTTTGCAATTTAGCCTGTCTTTGTGGTTTCTCCTGAAAGTTTGATCTGCACATTGTGATGTGGTTTTAACAGCAATACATTTCCTCCTGGCAGATATGTACCCAGATTTTGGAGAAAAAGAAATGCAACTACACCGGGAAATGCACCTTTGCCCACAGCCCGGAGGAGAAGGACATGTGGATGTATATGAAGAACAACGACTGTGAGTTATTGAAGTCGTGTTTTAGCATTGCACTCATCACATTGTTGGATTCACCATGAACATGTTTTTACAAAAAGATCAACATTTAATTCCCCAAAACCAGAGATATTATTTTTCTATTACTTGCATTCCTCCTTCTTTTACATACCTGTTGCCTTCATTACCACAACACATTGAGTTTTGATATGTTGTGCTAGTAGTCGCTAATGTAGCTTGGAAGAGCTAGCAGCAAGCAGAAGACTACTATTACAATTTGGGAATGTCTTGGAAACTATATAGTTAAAACTGAATAGATAATAGAAATTGCTTTAACTTAGTTTTTCCATATTGTTAAGTGAATGCAGGAATATTAATAAAAAAAATATTACATTTGTCAGTTCATATGTATTAGTTTTTCATTTTGACTGACTTATTAAGATAAGTGGTCAAAATGTATGCTGAAAACGTGTGTAACTGTATAATTTCTTATCTCATTTAAATAGCATTGTGCCCGATCATTCTTTTGGGTCTTGATTTGTTGTCTGCTTCCCACTGAACATCCTCAAAGTGACCACAGATCTGTGTATTTGTACCTGTAGTGCACGACATGCAACAGATGTACGACATGTGGCTGTCATTAACTGCCAACAACCATCAAGCAAACGGAGCCGCGCTCACTCAGTCCACATCAGAGGAAAAATACATAGTCATGCCGACTGACTACGCTGAGCCAATGGTGGGTTCACATTTGATTTTCGAGCATTGCCACCAAACAAAAAAGGTCCACGTGTTTCACATGACGATGGTTTCTCCTCTTTGTATTTCAGACTGGCTTGTACTGCCGTCTGTGTGGTCGGCATAGTAACGGCGAGCGGCAGTGGCAGCAGCACATCTCGTCTGAGAAGCACAAAGACCGAGTGTTCAGCTGCGAGGGAGAAGAGGAGGCTCTGACCTGGAACTACCGCTTCCCTGGACTCTGCTTTGACCTCTGCCCCAAGTAAGACCACTGACCCTGGATCAGTTTTTGAATTGGAACTATTGGTGGAAGAAGTATTCTGATCTTATACTTAAAAAAGCCATGTAATGCTAATTTTCAGGTTCATATTCATATATATGTAGTGCCTCTACTGTGAGATGTTTACATGCTTTAATGTTCAAAAAGATCTTTATTGTTATCATACTGCCTGTGCTGCAGCACCTCTTTTCACCCTCCGTCTTAAACCAGAGCCCAGTCTGCTCTGATTGGTTAGCTGGCCGGCTCGGTTGTGATAGGTCAACAGCTTAAAGATCTAAATAGAAGCACAAGTGTTATGTTATGGAAGTAAACAAAGGAGTCCAATGGAGGTGTTTCAGGGGGGGGAGGGAGTGTGTGGGAGAGAAACTCCCTCAGCAGGGAACACAGGGATTTTAGCCTTTGCAGACACATGCACAAAAACCTATATAACACACTACAGGAAAAGGAAAACTCCAAAAAGCATAATAGGGCCTCTTTAAAGAAGATTAATTATTGATATTTGGTTTCAAATGAGTGCTAATGTTGCTGTGTCTGCTTGAAGTGTAAATAATCACAATAATCAACTTTAGAAGTGTATATTTATTCGATGTTTACAGCTTGTGATGTTCATGTTTGACAGGTTGGATGGTGGCTGTCCTGAAGGCGTGAGCTGCGACTTCGCCCACAGCATGGAGGAGCTGCAGGAGTGGACCGAGAGGCGTGACTTCCTGCGGCAGAAGCTAGCCAAAGCCAGAGAAGACATGCTAGTCATGCCCGACGAGTTTGACTTCGGGAAGTTCAACTTTCTACTTCAGGACTGAGTAGATTTATTTCACGTTATGAGCCTTAACTGCCAAACTAGCCTGTCTTTTTATTCAACATGACCAAATCAAACGAGCAGTGTTAAAAATGGCACTGCCAGAAGAACCTTTCAAACATGCCATAAACCCCTTCATTTCAAAATGGTAAATATTTTAATTTTTAGATGTTTCTTATCCCTGTTTTGAGAGCCACTTTTGCACGTGTCTGTTCAGTCAAACATCAGTAATAAAAGTGCTGTGAAGTAAGGCTCATATTGGTGCCAATGTAAAAAAGACACAGATACAAACACATTTTGAATATTCAAAAAGGATAATATTGTCCCATACATGCAGCCTTTTCTTTGCTCAAACTAATGTGAAATTCACACAAATGTGTTGAGTTGTTTAGTTATTTTCCCTTATGTTGCGTCCTGTTTATAAAGGGAGTTTTATTATCAAGAGTGCGTTCAGACTACAGTTCACTCGGAGTTTATGTGTATCAAAGTCTCAATAAAGCCATGTAACAAAACCAACACGTGTTTTTGGGTTGTATAATTTTGATTTAGTGTTTTAATGTGTTTGTTATTGTGGTTCAAACTAACTATCGGCACAGTCTGGTGTTGCAACAATTATGACTCTAACCCTAACTATGAGACTGACAAGATTTGCACAATAGATCAACTAGAAAATATGTTTCAAGTAAATGAAAAATAAACGTTATGTTGCACTGTTTCTTTTGTTAGACCTGTGAACTATTTACTTGTAATGCATTGAATAACTTCAGTGTGGTATTGCTACCAGTGGTGGAAAGTAACAGAGACAAGTACTCACACAACCAGGGCCACTTAAGTATTTTTATGTTATGGTAATCCGAACTGTATATGGAGTAGAAGTATAGGAGCAATGTTGTACTTTTTTCGCCAAATACATTCACTTTAATGTTTTTGTTACAAGTTATTTAGCTAATCTGATTAAGATTAGATCAAATAAATCTTTATTAATCCCTGTAGGACAATTTAACGGGCGGGGCAGCAACGGCAATATGAGACAAAGGAAACGGAGCATAGGGCAGGAGAGAGCACACAGGAATAATAACAGTTTACATTTAAATAACAAAAGAATATGGTAAAACTGTATTAAACAGCATGTATATAAAAAATAATTATCAAATATAAGATAAACTTATATAAAGTATATGTGCAAGTGTGCAAATCCACAGTAGCAAAGTAGGAAGAAACATGGGGCAGGTTGATTTATTTATTAGTTTATTTAACAGAAATGCACCACAGGCTTGACATATGAACACCCTAAAAACAATTCATGTTTAAATGAATAAACATGCAAAATAGATATGAACTATACTGGAAATGCTAATAAAAACAAACAAAACATGCATATTATATTGCAAGAAAATACTTTTTGGGTGGTTTAAACCTTGACTGTGCAGCCTGATTGTTTTTATTGGATAAGCTACCAAGCAGTTAAAGGTGAATACTTCTTCACAGCTGAAAATAAATACAAACTTCTGCTTTAAATCCATGTTTTATTACTGCATTACTCTTATTCGGTCACTAGATGGCGCTGGAGCTCGCGTGCAGCTGGCCTCGAGCCTTCAGACTTTCCTTTCACATGCTGCCGTGCGTGCATGGGAACAAATGTGCTCAGCTGAGCGGTGTTGTTGTTAGGTTCATGTTAGAGCCCGCCCAGTGCTCTCTCATTGGCTCCGCGGTGTGACTGACAGAGCCGTGCACCACTGTCATCCAATCAGCGTGGTCCAGAGGGGGCGTGGCTACCCTCGCTCTTTGCTTGGACACATGCATGAATCCCCGTGATATGACTTGCTAGAAAGTTGGTTATAAGTGACTGGAATCTGCTGCTGACTCACAGTTTGAGAGACTCTCACTCTGTTGGACTCTTTTTAGATTTCAGAAGATATTTCACCCGTTGCTCATCATGTCAACAACTAGCCACAACTTCTTCGGAGACAGGAACGAAGTGCCAGATCTGCTCAAATCCTTGGTTGAATATCCCTTCTGCTTTGCTGACTTTGTGGACACCGGTAAGACTCTTTTCTATTGTTTATTTGAGAAAAATAACATACTTTAAACGTGTCAAAGCGTTGTACTTGGTATTATATAGTTTGTATGTGCAAATTGAATACTATTCTACTTAAATATTTGGGTATTGAGTCATTATATGCTACTATAGCCAACTAAAGCTAATATTGCACTACTCCACTGCATTTATGTGACTAAACATTAATTTCCAATTAATAAACTAGTAGTACATTAGCTGAAGAGATAAAACATGTTTTCTGCCTTTCTTAACTTTATGTAGCAAATATGATTATAACTGCATTGCATCGGTGTAATAACATAAATAAATGAACCTTGTATCCTTAAAATAAGCTTAGCTCGACCACTTCGCACATCACCGCTGATTATAATCCAATCAGTGTCCATTCTGCTGCTTAATGGGTACTGTACTTCTGATACCTAAAGTAGTTTCTATGCAAAAGTACTACTGAATACAAATAAGAATGCATGACAATACATGTCAAACACAACAATCAAACACTCTTGCATTGCTCTTTTTAAAGTAAAATGTCCCGTTACTACTCCAATATATGTATTTAAAGTTATTAGATATACAGTGGACATCTTAAATCCAGGTGTATGATCTACTGCTAAATTGATCATAACAATAGGATTAGATATAGTCTGGTTTCTCTATCTCATTCCCTCCTTCTGCTGGACTCAGGAACTTGTATTGATTACTAAAGTAGATGCTCCTGTTATGTTGAAGTTCACCCTGTTGCAGCTTTAAGTGAAAGTGAAAGTGTGTCAGCCAAAAAACTGCAACTGATGTAACAACCCTGAAACAGCCTCACTCTCAGTTTCATCACATCATTCGTCTCTTTTTGCACCTGTTCTTCTTGTATACTTTCTTACGTTTCTTGTTTGTTTGTTGGCATTTTTATCTGATATTTGACAGTAGCAACAAAAGGAAAACACAAGTTAGTAAACCTAAGTATTCTGATTGTGATAAGGTGACAGAGAACAGGGGTTAGAGCAGATACAATCACATGTTATGGTGACATGGACCACCTGGCCTCAGGGGTGCCCCTGTACTGCATATAACATTACTGTCTATATACATTGTCTATGTATAAACAGTGACCCTTTGTAACACTGAAAACCAAACTACTTTACTCTTATTCACTATGTCCTACTATGCTACTATTCTCCAAATGGAACTTTAAATTATAAAAACTGTATAGTATTAACTGACTAAATGATCCCATAAACTCATTGTATTCCAATTAAGAATTTGAATACCGCTCTATAAAACACTCAAGGGCCCTTCAGGGCAGGGTTAATAGTGTAGGCCCCGGGTAAGACATGTTGGGATTGAGATTCAACATTTAAGAAGAATCTGAGAGGTTGTTTTATCTGTAACATGTTCACATATTGTGTTAGTGGAACACATGCAAAGATACTTCTTTGGAGCCTCAGGCTATGTACAAGTTATACTTCAGCACGTTATTTTTAAGTGTTTGTCTCAAGGCTCACAAAACAGTCACTATTCAAATCATGATGTAACTGGATTGCACACTAGAGTGCAACATTATTAAGTAGAAAACATATAATTTAAAGTGCAGTGCCTCACTCAAAGCAATTTGCTCCCCGTCTTAAGGGTGCTTCACTATTGTTGATTTTGGCATGCATGACATTCCAGAAACCTGTTGATTCCAATTTGGGCTTTTCATCTCACCTGTGGCCGCATCATTCAATAACCTTGGCATTTTTAGATAGAAACCATCAATCAGGGAGAAACAATTAACAACAAATATGGAGGTTTTCACATTTTTGTACTGGTTTGGTCGGTGGCAAGTCAACGTGTGTGTGTGTGTGTGTGTGTGTGTGTGTGTGTGTGTGTGTGTGTGTGTGTGTGTGTGTGTGTGTGTGTGTGTGTGTGTGTGTGTGTGTGTGTGTGTGTGTGTGTGTGTGTGTGTGTGTGTGTGTGTGTGTGTGTGTGTGTGTGTGTGTGTGTGTGTGAAGTTTAAATACTGACTTACAGAGTGAAACCAGGACTGCGTTTGATTTTTGTGGGGGGGGGGGTAGGTACGGCCTTGGGTACGGCCTTGGGGACTCGCACTACACTTATGACTCAGTATTTCTGAAATCATGACCTCGTGTGTAAAAGGGTCTAACAGTATTAGGTTGTAAACAGCCTTACATGTAACATGGTTGACTCAAAAGACAATGTTTGCAATCACTTTATATGTTCCCGATTCCTCCCCTCTTAAATGATCAAATCAAGGGATAATTGCCCCCAAAAAAAATGTGCATGGAGTTTAACAAGATTTTGCACATGTTTAGAAGTGGCTCAAGCAGGACCAACTCACCACCATGCAAAGATGCTGGTATTTCTCTCTACCTGCCATTCATCAATAGATAAGAGGGGAGTGTTGACAAAACACAGTGAGATCTTCAGTCCCCTCTGTGTTTAAACTGCTGCAGCAGGTTCCTCTCAGCAGACAGAGGACACTTTGTTTACCAGGGTGGTGACTCTGGCGAATCTGTAGAAGAAACAAAGAAAAAAGAACATGGTGTTCCTGAAGCCAAACATCCTGCTGTGAGGGATGTGCACGTACATGTCATATTTTGTTGTTGCACTGGGAGCTTTTGATGCAAGATTTAATAGCATAATAATGGCAATAACAATGTGGATTGACACATGGCATGTATTAAATTGAATGTTATTTATCATTTTGGAAACATTTGGTCGAAATATGATATTTTTGTTAGAAAATGAGACACTTGGTGGTGGTTACAGGAGGTATTTTTTAGGCAGAAGAACTCGGTTACCTCTGGATGCCCTGCCTGCTCCAGTTCGTGCCAGCATGTGCCAAATATCGGAAGCCACGCCCCCTGACAGATTGTACATTCAAGTGAGCACGAGGGGCGGGGGCACGTGTTCTGCAACGAGTATCTCCTTTTGGAGGATGTGCGAGTGACAAAAAGACTTCGTTGTTTTGATTAGGGTGTATCAAGGGTGAACGAGTGCGTATGTGCCATTTAACGTGTTGTCATGAGACAAGTGTGCTCATGGGAGATGTAGTTTGCTTCCGCTGGAGGCTGCTTGTCTGCAGGTTGTATGCGCAGAGTCTAATTTAAAGATGATAATGATGGCTGCACATGTTTCATATATTAATTTCTATGTCGAGGATTTTCTGGTGTACAACCACGCTACAGACAAAGAAGAGCAACAATGTTTTAAAAAAACAAACGGTATTAATCGAGTCATTTGCAAGCCTTTGAGCCACTTTCTTTCAATCAATAACATTGCATGGTGCAAATACAAATAAAATGTATAGACAAAAAAAAATCATTAACAACAGAGTAAGGTTCTATTCAAGCAACATAAATAAGTCAAATAATTTGAAATTACAAAATGTTTTCTATCAAAAATACTCCAGCTTTGATTGACACTAAATGAATAACGTGTATTGATATTCCTTTGAATTGAAGCCAGCTCTGTGGCACAATTGTCGAACTGAGGAAATATGTTCCACAGCCTCAATTTCTTTCTAGAAGAGCAACAATGCAATACACTGTAATACACATTAACATGGGCAGCACTGCGAACCAATCGGCTTCTACTATTGCTCGAGTGCGCGGGGCTTGCAGCTAATGAATATCCAATGAGTGCGCTCGGTGGGCACAGAGAACAAGGGGCTTGTGTAGTGTTTGTTTTTGCATCCTTAAATCGTTTTATATTGACAAACAGGCCTGAAAGCAGCACTTAGTGGTGGATCATAGCGGATATTTTTGTTGCGTTTTTCGCACCCCGCCTGGTGGAGGCACCCCTCGGTCCGTTCAGGAACGTCGCCCCCTGTCAGGGAACAATGTCTGGCAAAGCTGCGGTGACAGTTGTGCTGAAGCCTGGGGGCAACAAGGCACCAGAGGCTCCGCAGAAATCATTCCCTTTTGTTTTAAAGAAGATCATGGACATTCCTCCTCCTAACATCCTGGAGGAAGGCGAGGACGGTAAGATCGAAATGTAACAACAAACCAAAACGAGCGGATTTGACCCTATTAACCTAACTGTATGTGCACAAATCCATGCAAAGGGCTGTTTATTTGCATTAGGATGAAATAATCAGGCCACATTAGGATTCTCATTGCATACTGTAGCCTATATGTTGCACGGTGTCAGTTGTATTCAAGGCTGCAAGAAAAACCAAAAAAGAACAAAAAGTTCTAACTCCTTTCTAAAGCCATGCAAGCATCGCACACACACTGTGAAGAAACCGTGGAGAAAAGGGAGATGTTGGCTTTTTGATTAGACATTTTGGTCTGGTGTGTAATTGGGTCAGCAGTGTGTGTGGTGGTGTTTTGTGTGAGGTGGTGCATGTGTGGGGAAAGCTGTGCTCATTGTTTGTTTCCTGTGCCTTTCCTCGTCTAATGCTGGTTTCCTCAAAGCCTTCTTTAGTGTTTAGTGTTTAGTCTAGGATTTCACTTTCAAACTCATCCACACAGTCTTTGATGAAGCCACATTTTTTTCTCAGACACTGCCACCACACCCCCTTTTTCACCACCATATGCAAAGAGCTTCTCCTCACCTGTCTGATCCTCTCCAAATCACCATCATAATACCTTTATTCGTCCAACAGAGGGGACATTTACATTGAATAAAGAGCTAAAAATATCAAAAATAATAATTAAGAGGCATGCATAAAATATCAACAAAGAAAAATTGTAATTACACAAATTTCAAAATACACATCCACTTCCAGTAACACTATTTCAAGTGTAGCATGTATAAGGTAGTGTGATATCAGCCATGTGATAGTATTGAAATGATATGAGTTACAGATGTATTACAGCAGTTGAATTGTTCAACTGAAGGATAGCAGCCAGTTGGTATTAATTATGAAGTGAAAAATGGTCATTGTGCGCACAAAAAGCCCTTTCACGCAGCCATTTAATTATTATCCTCTTGTGTTATTGCAGAAATAGAGAAGGAGAAGCTGTGCTCCGTTGAGGATGTGGATGGAGGCGGGGCAGGAGCAGCCAGTGCTGGAGGAGGAGGAGGAGGAGGAGGAGGAAGAGGAGGAGGAGGAGAAGGCAGCGTTGTTGTTGCAGGTGCTGGTGGAGGTGTTTCAGCTTCCTTAACCCCTGCCATTTGGGACAAGACCATTCCCTACGATGGGGAGACCTTCCACCTGGAGTACATGGACCTGGACGAGTTCCTCCTGGAGAACGGGATCCCTGCCACGCTGGAGGAGGAGGAGCTGCAGAAGACTTTAGCCTCCGTGGGAATCAAAGCCAAATTCCTCCCCAAGGTTACTCCTTCAGCTTCTACTACTACGACCACGACTCCTGCCGTCGCCCCCGTCCCCGCCTCGGCGTCTTCCCCCTCGGCCTCCGCCACCTCGACCGTCACCTCAGAGCCAGAGGAGCCGGTGACGGTCACTACGCTACTACCGGCAAAGATAGAAGAAGAAGAAGAAGAAGAAGAAGAGGAAGAAGAAGAAGAAGAGGATGAGGAGGAGGAGGAGGAGGAGGAGGAAGGGGAAGAGGAAGGACCAGAGGAGGAGACGTTGTGTCAGGAAGTGAAAGTGGAAGTGAAAGAGAAAAAAACAGGTGAGAAATAGAGACGTTGTATTTTATTTTTGGATATACACTTCCTTTGCTTCCTTTAGCCACTTAGACACCTTTCATCCTTTCAAATAGACATTTTTAACACGTTATATTTGATGTTGTGATGACTTGTTTACCTGAAACGCCTCCATTGGACTCCTTTGTTTACTTCGGGAACAAAGAGACATCACTTTGTAACACTGGCGCTCCTATTGGCTAGCACTCCAACACATTGTACGTGATAGGCTAAGGGGCGAGGGATCTCTAAGCTGTTGACCAATCCCAACAGAGCCGGCCAGCTAACCAATCAGAGCAGACTGGGCTCTGGTTTCAGACAGAGGGTGAAAAGAGGTGCTGCAGCACAGGCAGTGTGAGAAAAATAAAGAGCTTTTTGAACATTAAAGCACGGAGACATGTCCCAGTAGAGACACTACATACTGATATACACCTCAGACAAAGCATTATATGTCTTCTTTAAGTTCTGTGACTAACAGCAAGAATGCCATTTGTTTCAGCTCCATGTAGTTGTTTAGGTGTCTTTGTATAGGTGCTGTAGTGTCTTATTTGCTCTTGTCTTGTAGATGCTGGGATAACGTAAACTAACATTACACATGAGGTCACAGACCTTTGAGCTCATGGCCAGCGTGCGGTCTATTGCACATCACTGTTGTGTAGGAACCTGCAACTAAAAGCAGACATTTACAGTGCTATATTGAGAAAGAAACACATTTCTTGTTGAACAATCTATGAGCAAAAGACACAGAGTGTGCCATTGCATTGTCCCTGGAAAAAAATTACAAAGTTTGTCTTCTACCTTCAACAAAGCTCACTTTGTTTGACTTTCACTACCCAGAATATTGTTGGTGGGTTCTCTTGAGAATACTTGACAAGTCACATTGACTATATAAACATCGAGTGGTGGAAGCAGTGAAATACGTTTACTCAAGTACAATTTTACGGTACTTGTTCTATCATCTTTTTATGTTACTTGATACTACACAACATTTTAGAAGTGAATATGGTACTTTTTACTTCACTACATTCACTATACAGGTTACTCAAAAACGTAACAAGGGAGAAGGAAGATTATACACACGTGTCAATGCTTAAACACAACAATAGATCAACAGAAAGAATGACAGCACAAGCTCACCCTCTGTCATCCGCACTCGACATCAAACAGGTGACTTATCTAACCAAACCACACCCCTGTGACATTTACCGGAAGTGCTCAACAAACAAATAAAAGTGACGTAAACAAATAATAATAATACAAATAATGAACTTGGGCTAAGTAGCGTTATGGCACCTACAGTATTATTCCATGGTGTCTGGCTGAGGCTTACACTGCATTACCTTAGACCTATGGAAACAATGTATGTTCCCCAAGGACACACTTTGACATGTATGCAGGGGGTGGGATCGGACAGGTAACCCCTGATTTGCCATATATGTAGTATTTTTGCTTTATTGGAGTGTCCTCTTTTATATCCAAGCTAACTTTGTATCTCGGTACCCCGCAGAGCGCCGCACCCCCTCCCCCGTGGACCCCGAAGCCATCGAGGTGGACATTAACTTCCAGCCGGACCCCACGGACCTGGTTCTGTCCAGCGTGCCGGGGGGGGAGCTGTTCAACCCGCGCAAACACAAGTTCTCCGAAGAGGAGCTGAAGCCCCAGCCCATGATCAAGAAGGCCAAGAAAGTGTTTGTTCCCAACGAGCAGAAGGTAGGCGTATTTATATAAAGAAAACACGTTTATTTATACCTAAACTGACGACTGTGAGACCTAGAAATAATCATTTTAGATAAATTTTACTTTATTGATCCAAATTTGGGAAATTGTTTTGTAAACAATGCATTTAACAAAAATGGAAAATACTCATAAACATTACATCTATACATATCAACAGTAAAAACATGTATATCTATTGAGTAACAATACTGAATAAACAAAGTACTCACATTTTTTAAATTACATTTAAAAAAAGCAATAATGTAAATAATAGTGGCTGCACAATTTGTATTCTTATTCCAAAAACTAATCACACACCTTATTTCTAATAATAATAATAATAATAATAATAAAACAATATGTTGACATTATTTTAATTTTTTTAAATGTATTATTCATTTGTTTAATGATCCCAATTTTGGAAATGGTTGTGTTAGAGCAGCATGTAAACATTGCATTTCACATGAGTAACACATTGATTGATTATACATATCACCATGGCATACACATACTTAGAAGCACCATGGTGACATAATCTTTTACACCAAAAAGGACAGCTAAGTGTGACTCAGTGGGTCGTGGTGCTCTCGTCCTGGTGAAGATTAAAGCGTTTGCAAACAGAGCGGTGGATTAGAGATCAAAGATAGAGGGGGATGTTTTCACAACACAGATGTTCGTTTGTTTCAAATCCCTTTGCTAATATCAACTATACTGCTCACTTTCTCTCTCGTTTCCCCGCAGGATGACAGATACTGGTCCAGGAGGAAGAAGAACAACGTGGCGGCGAAGCGTTCCCGTGACGCGCGGCGGCTGAAGGAGAACCAGATCACGGTGCGCGCCTCCTTCCTGGAGCGGGAGAACGCGGCGCTGCGGCAGCAAGTGTCCGAGCTGCGGAAAGACTGCGGACGATGCAAGACCATGCTGACCCGATACGAGGCCAAGTACGGCCCGCTGTAAACAACTCATTAACACCAAAAACATGAATGTATCAATGAGACAAAAAGCAGAACTCCCTTCCCCGCAGAATTCAACACGGACACCAACCACCAAGGGAATCTAAATTTGCATCTTCGCCGACCTCCAGTCCATGTGTCGAGCTCCGGGTGTGTTTTCCCGACGCGAGGTCCGGAGTTTCAGACACACACTGGCAGGCGGCGAGGCTTCGTGATGGAGCGGGGGCCGCAGGAGGGCCTGTGGAAGAGCGCCTGGCTCCTACACACTCAGAGAGGAAGATTGAGGACACTCCCGTGGTCAAACACACAGAAAAGTCAGGAAATCTGAGCAAAGCGGTACAAATGAATCACAAATCAGTTTTTTTACAACTGCACAGCACTTATTCTTCTTAGTGGACCAAAGCATGTCAGTTTAGAAGTCCTGTGTTTAGTGTGGTGCACACTTTGCCGTCCCTCAAGTTTCCTCGTGTTGCACTCGTGTTTGTGTCGTGTCTGTACTTCCTTTTAAACACTCTAGCTAAGACGACAGGAGCAGATGATGAAGGAGCAGGAGAAAGAATCAGGTACTTCCAGAGGGAGGAAGCAGAAAGGAGGAGAACATGAGTGATTCACTCACAGTTCTTCCACATCAACACAAAATCTCTTTGTGTATGTAGTCGTGTCCCCGGGCCACAGTGTTTAAATCTACCGTATAACACCATGGGAGACACATAGATTTTTTATTCGGGGGAAAAACATGCATGCCCTACAATTTAAAGCTACTGTGATGTGGTTTCCTTTTTCTACTGACCTCAGATCAGCTTCCAGAGACTTCACAGGATAAGACAGGTTTCCTTTGAAAAGAAGATTATAGAAAGAGAGATGTATTTCTTGTAGGTTAAAGGCATAATCTGATGGGCCCTCACCAGTGGGGGGGGTATGCTCATGCGTAGGAGAGTTTATTTTACTGCACACTGCAGGTAGAGGGCGCTAGAGCCTCCGCCTGTCTGGTCTAATGTAGTGACAGCTGGATTTTATTTTTTTAAAGATTTAACCAAGCCCAAAGTCGACTGCTTCGAAAACAAACCTTTGTAAATATGGTTCTTTATTTACTGAGATTCTGTCTCTATAAGCTCGATATTATTCCTATATTTGCCAAATGAGTGCTGTATTTATTCTGATGGTAATAATGCATCTGTTGATTTTGATGTATAACATGTCAGATCATTTCCTTTGAGGAACAATACTTCTATAATGAAACCATTGCAGGGAAATCAAAGGGTAAACTGTGCTTTTGGATGTTTGAACAGATGTATAGTTTTATTGGTTTTGTTTTGTTTCTATATATATATATATATACATTCAGCATGTGTCTGATCACAGAGAAAAGACACTCTTATTTACCTCATCCAACACTTCCTATTTTAAACGATATAACGTTTAGCAGGGTTGGAAGCAGAAAGCACATAAAGCAGCTTATTTCCATTTGGCAGAACTCCGAGTGGATGCGTTGGGTTGCTGAATTTCTAAATTATTGAATAGATTTCAGACTGTTATGGGACTCGATAGCTCAAATGTCTTTGGCTGATGCACATTTCGTGCTCGGTTTGGCTTGTGCTCATAATCGGCGTAATAATCTTGGAAAGAAAAAAAAATGTGGCAATAATACTCTGTTATGTAATGCTCGTTTTATTTCAGTGATGTATGTAAACGTATTATGATGTACTGAATAGACATGCCCCAAAGTCATTTGTGCTTCCAGTTTAGATCTGTAGTCCAGGATCCTAATGCATGAAACCCAGTGACCTGTCTTTGTTATTCCACTGAATATTTCACACAAAGTGTACTTATGTCTGTAAACCATCACTGAAAACTCCATATGTTTTTGGATGGGTACGTTGATGGTCTATTGTACAGTTCTGTCAGAAGTTTGCTATGATCTCTTGTGTTTACGACTTGCATAGCGCCACCTATCCTCATGCAGCAGTGCTTGACCTTGGGGCGAACATCAGCAGAAAACATCTTTTGATCACTGTGTGGATTGTTTTCTATTAACTAAACATGGATCTATATCTAGATACACTGGGTCGGCTTTTGATTTTGTGTGTTCTTGTTTCCTGATGATTTCGTGACATTTCTTAGCAACGTGTTTATGTTGCTTTGACTGCATTTTATACATCAATGTAGTTGATGAATGCAACCGTTAAGTTATGTTTAAAATGTTCTACAACAGCAGCCAGGCTGATAAAAGAGCGGTGCAGTGATGACGTATATTTGTAGGCTGACCCTGAAGTTAGCATCGCAACGGCTCCCTCGACAAAAAGCCAATGGGATTTTTTCATTGGATTTCGGAAAATAAGATCTGTGGTAAATGTTTATGATTAAGACGTTTGGTTTAGCAGGAAAATCTCCACATATTAATACCATTTTTTAGGAATAAATGCAATCCCCAGAAGTAAAAATGATAAGGAACTTCCCGTCACCACTGCTAAGCTAAAGGCGGCTAATGTTCGGTGTGATGTTTAGTAGTCTGATTTAGTCACTTGTTAGCAACCGTTGTTTTTATAGAAGCTTCAGACATTCAGCAGTGATGTATTTACTGACGAAAACATTTGTAAATCTCTTTATCTTGTGTTAATCACAGATCTTATTCCAGGCAAAAACATATTTATGAAACCATTGTCTTGGAGACGAGGGAACAAGATGTAGTAAAATGTCCTGGTATAAAGCCACATTCCGCAGGGGCGGACTGGGACTAAAAATCAGCCCGGGACTCTCGACCGGCCCACTTCGGTCTGCTAGTTTCCTATATACCGCTAATAAATTGACAACGGGGGGTGCTAGTGACTGACTTATCCGACCAGCCCCATTGCATGCAAGTAAATACCGCTAGTAAATTGTCAACGAGGGGGGGGGGTGCTAGTTACTTATCCGACCGGCCCATCGGGATTCGTGCCGAACGTCCCGATGGGCAGTCAGCCACTGGGTACAGGCCAAGAGATTATTTTAGAAGACACAAATACGGATTCTTTAAGTACTGGATACAGTATGTAGCAACGTTTCTTCATGCTAGTAACTCTCAAGCCTGCACATTTTAATTTAGCTAGTAGTAAAACCAATAGGTAATGAAGAAAGCAGCAGCAGTTAAGATCTGCAGCTCGGTCGCCTCCCACAGACAAAAACAGTACTAGCGTCTTTACCTGAGCACTAATTTAGGAAAAAAGTTTTACAACAGCGTGTTTTTCATCAAAAGGAGCCATTTACTTTGTGTCTGTTGGAGGTTTGAAATATAAACTCTATTATCGCCAGTTAGTTTAAAAAAAATAACACATTTGTTTCACAGCAACATCATCCAGAGCATGCTTAAAATCAGCATTTCAATATTAGGAATTAGAGAATGAAAGTGTTTACTGACATCTATATTTGCTGTGTAACAAGTGTCTCATACAAAAAGCTTATAATAATTGCAGCTGTAATACTTTACCTGCAGGTAGCACAGGTGTACATTGTTGTTGTTTTTGGCCTGTAGTTGGCACAAATGAGTGATCTATAAAGGTCTAAATTAGCTGTTTTCTAGCCTAAAACGGTTGCTGCATCATAATAATGACTTTGAAGTAGCTTTAAAACACCTGGAAGAATATTTAAAAGTCAATTTATTTCTAAGCTGTGGTTTATTTTCCCCCTTTTTTTATATAAACATGATTTTCGTTAAGTGTTTTTGTATTGTCCTAACCATGTATAGGATGCAGTACTATGTCCTAACTGTATCTTGTATCATGCAATTGAAAATAAATTGAGATTTCATGGCTCTTTTGCTTGACCTTGCCTGAGTCATCAGCCAGCTGCGGCAGATGTAGTAGTGCCGAGAGATGAAGAGACAAAAGAAAGCAGCAGTTTGGTGCACGGATGAAGACGTTTTCTCCTAGTTTTTTAACCTAACCTTGATGCATATGTTCAAATACACAATCCCCCATGACTTCCCTTCGACCAGTTGTTTATTTTACAGCCCCTCCATTGGTCCTGCTGCTCATCAGTATTCCAGAGGAGTAGGAGATGTTGCGTAATGATCACATCGACACACTGGGGAGCAGCGTTGCGTAACAGCAGCTTCAAAGACCAGCAGGATGGGGGTGTGTGTGAGTGTGTGTGTGGGTGTGTGTGTGTGGGTGTGTGTGTGTGTGTGTGTGTGTGAGGAGGAAAGAAAATCAAAAAGGAGGGGCTCTGGGAATTAGGGAGGGGTGGGGGACAAAAGGGAGGAAAGGATCAGGTGTTTGGAAAGGATGGAGAAGAAGGAGAGGGATGGAGAAGAAGGAGAGGGAGGGAGAATTGGAGAGGGGTGCAAACAAGATGGAGAACAGGGATGCAGCTAGAACCATGTGATCAGAGAGAGGGAGGGATGCAGTGCGTGGGCGAGCAAGACGTGGAGGAGAGCCAAGGAGGAGCCCAGCCATGCATGTTAATGTCACACCACTGCATGTTACTATAGAGCGTTCACAGAGAGCGCTCCATGATGACATTTAATGTAATATCTGCTGGGACGCATCCAGCTGAGGTGGGCGGGGAGCAATCTGGATACTCACCATTTGAGAATTTCAGCTTTGCTTTGAATTATTGATCAAACATCACTTGAGTTTGTTTACCGCCACAAAGCTCAAACTGAGGCTTCTCACAGGAGCTCAGGGGGTTTACTTCTCATCAGCTTTGATCTGCAATATGTTCAATATTAAAACCGAGGTTTAACAGTGGTGGAATGTAATGAAGTGTATTTACTAATATAGTACATTTTTCAGGTACTTTTAGTAAGGATTTTCCTTTTATGCTATTTTATACATCTACTCCACTACATTTTATAAGCCAATATTGAGCTTTTTAATCCACTACTATTTATTTTACAGGTTTAGTTACTTTACAAATTCACATTGAGATACCTCAAAATATAAATAGACTAATAAATTAAAATTGATATATCGTTATAAGTTAACTGACTCCATTGGACTCCTTTTGTTTACTTGCAAAAGATAGTGACATCACTATGTAACACTTGCACTTCTATTGGCTAGCGCTCCAACACTGTGTACGTGATAGGCTAAGGGGCGGGACATCTCTAAGCGGTTGACCAATCACAACAGAGCCGGCCAGCCAACCAATCAGAGCAGACTGGGCTCTGGTTTCAGACAGAGGGTGAAAAGAGGTGCAGCAGCACAGGCAGTATGAGAACAGTAAAGAGCTTTTTGAACATTAAAGGATTGAAACATGTCACAGTAGAGACACTACATACTGATATGAACCTGAAAATTAGCATACTACTTTTTGGGGTATTACTTTTTGACATTTATACAATGCTACTTTCACTCAAGACATCCAGGTACTTTTTCCACCACTTGAAATAAGAGGGATGCCTCTGTGATCCATCTGTAAATGTATGTCATGCAACACTATTCCTCCACCACAAACAATGAGGATGACACAATTATCTTATGTTCCATGCTTGTTTTTTTGCCAATCTGTTTTTTTTATTACAAACTTAAAAAAGAATCTGATACAATAAGAAACTGCAGTAGTAACTCCCCATTCCCGGGGGTGGGGCAGCACAGAAAACAGGTCATTGCATTTCAGTAGTGAAAGATTCATTACATCTACAGGGTGTACAGATCAGATACAAAATAGGAACAAAAATAATAAAATACAGGCAGGAAAGAAAGCACTATATTTATACATCATCTGAACTTTTAATTATATTTATTTGTACTCTTAAATGTTAAATTTTTTACATAGAAAATAAACTTCTTTTATGACAATGAAATATTCCAAAGTGCAAAATAAAACGCACACATCGATATAAGCAAACGGACATCAGAATACAAAATTCTTGTTTTTCCTCCTTAATAACGGTCAACCCCGATAGTTGAATGGCCTGCGTTTGGAGTGCGTTTAGAAAAGCGTGAAAAAACACAAACCAGCATTTACTCTTTTACAGTCATCGTCACATCCTCAGAGGAGCCCGATTTGTATACAGACAAAATTTAACAACACCTCGTTTGCTATGAATAATCTCACAAATATGAAGGAAAAAAAAAGTGTCACTTAGTCATTTTGGACATGCATGTGACTGTCATGTTTAAACACACAAAACAATTATGTTTCCCTTATTTATTATCCGCAGGCCATCTCAACCAGGGTGTAGCCTACTAAACAGATCACATTCACAGCACATTCATTTCCTTCATCCTTTCCGTAACACTGTCTTCTCATTGAGACGATATACTGATTTTTGTATTTTTTTTTCCCGGGTGCAGAGAGGTAGAAACCCCTTAAATCCTTCAGGGTAATTTAAACTATGGCATTACATTGCACTGGAGAAGAGCGAGCGTCTGTGTAAGCAAAGACAGTCTGGGATATGGCTATAGTACCAGGACCAAAGGACCTGGGGAGAAAGGGAAAAAGATGAAGTGAGACAAAGAAATTGTGATGGGGATATATAATATAAGGGGACGTTTTGTTCTAGTACATCTGATTTATCTTGGTTGGGTGCTTTAGTAGCAAACAAAAGAAGTCAAGGAGTGTTAGAGAGTAGTGTTGGATGGGAGTAAAACTAAATGTAGGAATTCTATTGTGATCCTAAATAAGTATTGAATTTACAAAAAAAAGGAAAAGAGGGAAGGACTTGCCCTTGAATATATCTGAAATGTAAATTGTTTTGTTTAAATACATTTCTATGGGAAGTAGAGAGGACGTGATTATTAACTAAAGTGGGAAAATATAACAATTTCTTCAGAGGAAAAAAGATAAGCAGAGTAACTTGTAGGGAATATAATAGATATGTAGGGGATTGACCAAAATAAATGGGTAAATGGACATTTCACTTAAGAATAACTCCGAAATGTGGATCGTTTGTCTAAATGCACTGCCTATTGGGGGTAGTGAAAATGTGTTTAAATAAAGTGGGGAAAAATGAATGGTAATTTTAGCTCGAAGGATAAAAGACAAGCAGGGAATTGACAATAGAAAAAAAAAAAAGGGAAATGGACAAAAACAAAATCTGAAATGTGTAATTTTTGGTTTAAATGCACTGCCAATGGGGAGTAGTGTTGTGAGACTGCCCTGGGAGCACAGAACAAAAGTGAAATCAGCCATCTTTCCTACACAAACCCTTTGTAAACATTCACATCTTAAACTTCAAATCCGACTTGAAGAATGAATACATTTACCCGTCTTATTAGACAAATGCCAAAAAGGTACAAGGTACAATACACATTCAATACTTTATTCTGTACATCTTTATTTTTGTCTCGGTTTGCATATATTCACGTTATTTTCTGAAAAAATAACCTCGGCATGTAAGAAACTAAACAAATAAATCTGAACGTAAGAACTTTGTATATATACATATTTCCTGGACTTGTCATGTCTTTACTCGTACAAATGTCAGTGATCATTTTTGCAAAAAAAACAAAAATATATAGAAATAAATTACAAAACAAAAAAACGATATAAATGCATCTTTCCCCTCACAATCATAATGACATTTACAGACCTCCCCACCCATCCCCTTGAAAAAAAAAAACAAAGAAATAAAATCTTCCATGCATATGACAAGATGTCACGTTGCAAAACCAGAGTCAAGGGTCCTCATTAATAGGTTTCTGGAAACATTCAAATAAACAGCATCTCCTCAATCTTGCATCTGCAAATCAAGCTCCTGTATTGAATCTCTAAAGCATGTCATGGAGGCTGAAGGAAGGATGTAGCGCCACACAGCCTCAGAAATAAAGTGCTGCTCATCTGAGAGCTACCCCTCCCTGCAGAGACTCACCAACAATCACATGGACCCGGCTGGTAAACAAACCATTGTTAGGAGACGTGCAGCAGACTTAAAATCTAACCAATAAAGAGACACAAAAAGCAGCAGACCGATTGAGGATCACTCATCTGTATGAATCTTTTGTCAGCAACCAGAGGAGAAGAGGAGAATTTCAAGAGGAGGGAGAGAATGGTTGGCTTCAATACCATTTAAGCTCACCACAAACGTGTTCTGGGTTTTAAATCTCTCCACAGCCTGGATAACACCGAGGCGAAAGAAGCCTCTAGCTGCTGCTCTCCCTTTCATTTCCTTCTTCATGCAGAGGAAAAGCTCTCCCTCAAAGTCATGCCAAGCCATTTATCACAATGCCTGCTGCATCCCTCTTCACCTTCACACACTACCACCTGCGTGTGTGCACGTATGAAAGCATGATTTACATCCCAGTGTGTTTAATTATTGAGGTATCAACGCTCGGTTAAAGTCTTAAAATGCAAACCCGTTTCTCCACCAAGGTTTCCCTGACCTTCCTAGCTGCAGTATCCCCCCCCTGACAGATGCAATACATTCCCCTACATCACTCCCTTTACAACCCCAAGCTGCCTTTCTGCTCCCTCCACTGCTCGCGCTTCATTTAAACCCGTGTCATGTACACACATCCCAGCTGACGACAAACTGCTTCCAATATACGCCCAGCGACAACAACTAGTGGAGAGGGCCCACCATCGTACAAACAATGGGTCTCTCCATCACGCTGAGCCACAACAAAACAGAGCAACGCCACACACACACACACACACTCACACACACACACACTCACACACACACTCACAGCAGACCCCCGCCCCCCCCTTCTCTGTATTTGTGGCAAGTAGGGCAGAGCAGATTGCAGAGCAAAGTGCTGAGCTTTCCACAGCCGTCGTTCCCTGCAGGACTTGGCGAGGAGCTTCTTTCACAGCATGACAGTGCAGTGCAAAAGTGGAGCTACACTAGAGCCGGGTCCATTAATCCACAAAACAAAAACAAGTCCTTAACGTTAACATTCAATGCAAAGGAATAAACATAAAAGCGATTGGCAACGACTCAAACGTAGAAAGGAACCCACCCCTCCCCACCCACTCCTGTCATCAAAGCAAACGGACGAAAGCAACGAATGAAAATGTAGAGCGGGATTGGAGGTAACAAAAACTACATTTCATTATTCAGTGGACGTGGTACTTTTTAAATCCTCGTAGTAAAACTAATTCTCAACGCGTATTAGTATCAGAACAATTTGTTAGAAAAAACTGAAAATATCTGGAGCGTCATTTTTCAGACCCACCTCGGGACAACATTTCTTTTTCGTTACAAATGAAGGCTTTAGTTGGCCAGCACCACCGGCTGGAAGGACTGGCTGGGGTATTGTAGGTTGTAGCTTCCTAGACCCTCCACAAACGGGGGCTTCTCCATGTAGGGGATTCCCCCGCTGCTGCCGATGATGCCAACGCTGGGGGGCGGAGGAGGGCTGGAGAAGGGGTCAAAGGTCGGATGGGAGTGTGGCGGCTGGAACGGGCTGACGTGAGGCTGCATGGGCTGGGAGTCAGCGTCGAAGTAAAGGGCGCCCGGCGATCCTGGGTACACGAACTCTTTGGCGTTGGGGGAGAGCTGGCTGGCGATGGGAGCGCCTCCGAGGGAGTGCAAGGACAGAGAGAGAGGCTTGTGCTTCAGCAGGTCCGGAGCCAAGATGGCGGTGGGGGAGTGGGTGAGCATCCTCTGAGTGGGGGGGAGGATGGAGCCATTGGAGCCAGTTGTTGACCCGGCACCGCTGCACTTCTTCATCTTGGTCGAGCCGAATTTGGTGGCGGCGAAGCTGGCGGTGGTGAAGGTGATGGGCTGGGGGCGGGCGGTGGGGATGGAGGAGGGCGGCGGCTGCTGCTGAGCGGAGAGGTAGGGCAGGCCGCCGCTGGGGGGGGGAGGGGGTGGAGGTGTTGGAGGAGTGGGCGGAGGGGTCGGGAGGCGTGCTGGAGCTCGGGTAGCTGAAGAGGGCGGTGGACATCGGGGTGGGGGAGCTGGAGAGAGAGGGCATGAGGGCGGGTGACGCCTGGCTGCCGATCGGAACGAACACCTGAGCGTCCGGGTTGAACCCCAAACTCTTGGCCTCCTCCGCCTCCGAGTCTCCTTTAAGGAATCAGGAAGAGGTTTTATTGACAAGAAGGTTTACACATACGAGGAATGTGCCTTGGTGTACATGGTGCATATAAACACAGTTAAAGAAGATACAAAATAAAATGTTTTTTTTTTAAACTATGCCGAGTTAAGATATTGAAAATGAGTGACATTAAATCTGGATATACCAAAAAACTACGTAAAGTATACTATCGCAAAGTACTAAGTAATAAAGTATGTGCAGTATTGTCATGGAAAGCTGTGTAGATGCTAAGAGAATAATAAGATACGTTTTTGATCCCAATTTATGAATTGTTTTCATCACAGCAACATAGATAAGCCATTGCACGTGAAATAGAAGTAAATAAAATAAAACAAGAAATACATATCAGCAGTAGAAGATAAACAAAACAGTGATTATATACAGATCAATAATAAAGGATATATATTGAAAACACAATATAAATATACAAATAAACAGAATTGAAGGTAGTGTTGGTTATGCTGGTCCAGCCTATCTAACTCACAAAATGTAAACATTGAATACAATATACACTTTACAGAATAATTACAGATTTAAGTTACATTTAAATCCTCAAGGGACCACCTGAAAACAATGTATACAAGTGAGTTTACCCTCTCTGGTGGGCCCCTCGGGCATCTCTCCTTCACACCCGAGTCCAGGAGTCTCTTCCAGATAGAGGACCTTCACCGCCCCCTTCTCTCCGATCTGGTAGGAAACCTCGTACGGGTCGATCCACACGCTGAGCTCTGCAGGAACGTTTGCACGAACTTCCTCCGTGTCCAGGCCGCTCCTCTTGGCGGCTAACTCCACCACGGGGTCCCTCGGGGCTCCCAGATGAATGCAGCGAAAGGCAGAACCTCTGAGAGGGGCTTCGGGGTACCAGTGACCCTCAAACCGAGAAATCAGTATCCTCTCCAGCTCCTCGCCGAACAGATCCGCGCGGCGCCGAGGCAGCTTGTTGTACAGGTAGGACACGATGAAGTTCAGGGCGACCTTCACCTCGAGATGCATGGTCGCTCCGGGTCAGCGTGGGGGGGGGAAAGGGGTCGAGGGTGAGGCGATGCAAACGGTAACAAGGAGTTTTTTCCTCTGGCTTTATTGTAAAGTGTACGAGTCCTTTAGTGTCACCATGGTAAAGGCACCTCAAAGGCGGCAGGCGGTCTTTGTCCTCACAAATGTGGCGTTTTCAGGTTCCAACTGTGAAGGAGAAAAGAGAAGAAGGGTGTCATTTTATTTTGAAAGAGCCAGAGGAAGATAAAAGGGGAGATCAAGGGAAGTGGATTGAAAACAAACAAAGGAAGGGGACGCTGTTCTCCATCTGTCGACCTTAAATCACATTTAAAATGTTAAGGACTTTTTCATTTATTTGGTACTTCTTTTCTTTAAGTGCTGTCATGTCATTGTATGTCTTTGGTAGCTAATTATCTAATCTAGCAGTGATGTTATGTACATTTTTCTGTTTTTATTGATGTTGTTTTTTTCGTGTGGGTGGTCTTTTTTCTGTGTGTGCTAGTTAATGTGGAAATAAGTTTATTCCTGGTTTGTGTTGGCAAAAGAAAACAGATTCTGAAATAAAAAGAAACACACAAACTGCACCAAAAGAAAATGCTGCTAATCATTCCCTTTTGGTCACAGAAAAAAGTAATGTATCAGTTAAAGGTGGGGTATGTCATTTTGGAGAAACCAGCTCGAGTGTGCTAGAATTTGAAAGTACACAACCGGAAAAAAATCTGCTTCTTCCTTCAAACTTCCTTACAGAGCCCCTCCTCCAACACACACGAACGCGCACATGACCAATGAGGGCACGAGATAAGTTTGTGCACAGATGGAAGGCTGACAGGCAGGTAGGCCATCCAGTTATTTTAGCCGGGCCGGCTCAGATGATTGGTCGTGCTTTTTACAGTACTACGGCTTCCACAGATGACATTTTTTTATGTATTTATTGTCAAAGCATTTAATATATTCATTGCTATCGGGATGTTAAGAGCATTCCATGGAATATAACAAAAAGTGTTTCTGAAATAAATTACATACCCCACCTTTAATGGATGCTTAATTGATTTACATGATTATTTGGCACACTTATGCCTCCATATCCGACAGGTCATTGACTCGAATAAAAAATAAAAAAAAAGGCAAGAAGCGTGCACTTCTGCATGCATGAGAGGAACGGAAGTGATTAATAAGCTGTGGTTTAAGACATTGCTATACTGAAAGAGTGCAAACATTGATTCAAATTAAAAACAAGATAACTTTTGGTGAAATGCATTTGAAGCCATCGTAAATAGATTCAGAGCGGTTGGACAAACACGCAGAAAACACACCATATTGGCTTTAGTAATCAAATGATACATTTGTGAGATGCTTAACGCGTGGAAAACACCACAGTTTCAGTGAAACACAGCATCAGACATGCTTTATATTCTATATGTTGGTTTTATCAGCTGCAGGATCTACTGATGGATGTAACAGATGCTGTGTTGTGGGCTTCATAAATCCTTTATAATCTGAATCTGATCCGGGAACGCATCCTGCTTTGACGCTTAAACACAGTCACACGGAGGCCATGCTGAGTCAAAACCACTGAAGGATTACATGCAAAAAAAAGAAGCAATAACACCACCGATACTCAGAAAAGAAGGAGGTGTAAAATGGCAGGACAGTAAGTCGACTTCACAGAACACCATTTCCCACCATGCAGTGCGTGTGATCTCCCCCCTCCCCCCCTTACACACACAAACAATTCACTCACATTCACTTCCCTGCCAGATGGGGATTCAGCAGCTAAGATTAGAAAGACGCCTCCGATTAAAGACAATCCTAATGTTATCACAGATAAAGCTGCATGCAGAGTGACTGTTAAAGATTCACATTTCCCCCCCCATCGCATGAAAAAGGTGACATTGGGGGTTGGTTAGAATGGGCTATAAATAGGGCCCCATTTTGCATATGTTCCTCTCCTGCACCTTGGTTTAAAATGAGTTTAAGTGACCGTTAAAGGGATGTACAGGAAAATCCCCAAGTCCAGCACCTGCAACAGCCACCAGCAATACAAACCTTTAGTACACACACACACACACACCCAAACACACACACACAGTTAAAGCTACCAGCAGCTTCTACTGCATTTCCTATCTCGTATTATATAAACAAAGCAAGATGTACAAGATCCAATGTCATCCAATGACATAAGAGGAGTAGCTATGTTAGTATGTGCAGATGTCCTGCTTTAAGAGTGTATTTAGAAGTCTAAATCTTAAACCAGAGCGTGCAATTTTTATAAAAACCATCCACGCTCACAAATCCCTGGCTTTGTATTCTTCACTGTTACACAACTTAAGGAGCTCCAGTGATGTTTGCAGGCCTGTTGTTGCAGGTCAGAGCAGCAGCAGGATCTATAGGGCTATTTTTGTTTACATGGACTCATTATCAGAGCTGCATATGTGCCACTGTGTACTGCGAAGCCCCCTGTTTTTATCTATTGAGCACATGTGAGCTTATAATAGCCCTAGCTAAACACAATACATATATGAAAGCAAAAAGCCTTTAGAAATATTACAATGGAGCCTTTAAAGCAGCAAATGGAGGCCTTCCTGAACCAAGTTACACCTGAAACCTCAATTGGACATGAATAGTGATGTTTTTCTCTTTCATTGAATCCCCCTCACTTACAATGTTCTCCCTAAACAGATTGATAATAATAGATGCCTTTAAATGGGAATATTTCTGCACTACCAGATGCTAAATGTGCAAGACGAGGGCGAGATTGGAGGGATATCAGCTGTGTGTGATGCTAAACTCAGATACTAAAAAGGAGCAGGGTCTACCTGGGGGATTACTGGCATATGTCAAAAGGCAGTGGAGCATAATGGACACTGGTTTGGGTGACATGCAAGTGAAGAATCCCCCCACCATGCCAAATTAACGCTGTAAATTAAATTATAAAGGCTAAATAAGTGGAGAACAGACTATCGAGCGAGTGTGTGCCCACTGAGCAATAAGGAAGACAGTCCCTCCTCAACATATACAGTCAAACAACGTATAAAATAAACATGACAGTTGCATATACTTCAAGAAGGGATCACTTAAGCTAATTTACAACGGGCCAGAATAAAAACAAAAGCTGGCTCTCTATTTAAATGGCCGAACCAGTGCTGTCATTCATTACAATGAGCGCATTTTGCAAAGTCAAACACAGCAACATGCACGCAATTTAAGGACATTTAAATGCAGTTTCATGCACCAGCTGACATTTAATTACTCACCTATCGTCACTGATGCTCTACCTTGACTCCTGCGTTTCTCTTGTAATTCCCCTGTGTTGTCTTCGATTTCAAGGCGGACGTGTCGAGTCCTTGGTGCAAATGCTGACCACTGGATATTGTTCTCACCCCAGTGTTGTGTTTATTAATCTGCTGTCCCCATTTCTGCAAGGTCCAAAGGGTTTCCCAGTTTTTCTTCAGCTGACAGTTTGCATGGAGGCTCCAGTGAAACTTTACTGTTTGACAACCCGGCGTATTTATACACTGTGACTCGCCCACACGCCCGTGACGGCAGGGACTACTTTCTTCATATTATAGTAGCTGGTGCTTTATTATTATTATTCCATACAACGGTATCTATGCATATGTGATGCTGCCAGTAAATCATTTAGTTAATATCATATTTATACAGAATATTTATATAAATATTACCAAGCAGACTTCTTTTTTGGAATAACAATAAAACCAAAAACTATTTTCATACCTTGCATTTTTTACACCATATATAAGATTTAATTTCATACTCCTCTATTAAAACATAACGATGTAAACAACGCTAATTGAGGGCATGTTTCCTCCATGTTTACCTTGCAGGCACTAGTTAAATTGGCGGAGGTATATTTGTAGTTTCTAACGGTGCTGTGCAATTTGCTAAAAATATAAGCGGTGATAGCAACAGAGTCCCTATTGGCTGAGAGGGGGGAGGACCCTCACATTATTGGGCTGCAGCATCCACTCAGCAGCTAAATCAACTTGACTTTTACCAGGGGCTTGTGGGAAATGTGGTTATTGCCACTAAATGGTGTGTGGTGGTATTGATAGTGTTAAATAAAAAAAGACATGCATTAGAGATTGATTGACTCCGGGTTTGTTATGCATTCAAATCAATCCACATTGTGATTATCAGTCATCTACAGTAGCCTATGAGAGGTACTGTGATTATGGATTTTGTATTCAATAAAGAAATATATTCTAATGATATAGGCTAAATTCAATTATAGACATCTCCCAGCTACACGAATATATGATTAATAATTTTCAGTTAGTCCTATGAGTATATTTAAGCATTTTTTTCCCATCCATATAGTCTTCAACTTTTAAGACACGCAAGACATTTAACCAAAAACTAAGGTAGTCCCACATCTTCCATTACAGTTTTGCATTTTTGTGCATTTTTAAGGATTATTCCAAAAATAAATTGGCATATTTTCAGTGTTATCAGGTCACCAATACTTTAATATAAATCCCATTTTTCTTTTATTGCACAGATGTATTCCATTTCCTAATTTAAATTCGGATGTACATATATTGTGCAATCACCGCTAAATGCACTTTAATACAGGGGTATCTCCTCTTGCACTTTATGTAGCCCTTGTATCTTCTCTTGCACTTTATATGTCGTTGCTGCTATATTGTATTACCATGTCATAAATACTTGTATGCTGCTCTTGCTCTTTTGCGTTTTTGGATATCATGTATTTTGTTTTTGCTATGTTTGTAAAATGTAAACTTCTTAAATGTTTTATATGAGGGACTGCGGATGGAAATGAGCTCAAAGCTAAATCTGGCACTGTTACGCTTGACACATTTTAATGTTTTAAGTCAGGGGTGGGGAACCTTTTTCCTCTCAAGGGCCATTTCAATTTTTTCCACATCCTCCGAGGGCCGTACAAATTATTGACCTCTGCTTAAAAATACTAAAATCACAGCCCATTCATTTCGCCTTTCTTTCATGCTGTGCAAAGAAAAAGCAACCTCTTAATCCAGATATCTTACCATGACTCGCGCATGCATGCACGTGCACGGTTGTGGCATGACCACCAAAACAGAAAGATATGGACACAAGATGTGTGCAAATCTATTTAGTTTCCTATCCATGTGAACATGATTTAAGTGGGGGCGGGGGACCTAACCTCCTCTAGGGGGGTCCGGGGGGCATGCTCCCCCGGGAAGATTTTTTTTTTAAATGTTGAAGTTAAAAGCATCAATCTGGTGGACTTTGAGAGCAACATGAAGAGATCTATGGAAACATCTCTCAACACCCATATGAAACAGAACTGTAAGCAGATTTATTTTTCTTTATGGATATTTTACAAATCACTCCCCTTTCAAACTGTATTCTTGTTTATTAATAACAACTTTTTTTTACTGTCATATAGTATTTTATACCTGTTTACTTTATTCTCTTATTTTTTGATAACTATAATGATCATATAAAGATGTGCCTTTACCTCACTGGTTGGAGAAAAAGCTTCTTATATTCGTTAGCATAGCTAGCTAACCAGATGCTAATAACAACAAAGTTATTGACTGTATGATCAGTATATATGACAGATGAACAGATCGAACACTTAACATGTAAGTGTTCATTACTGTGCATTGTCCCTGCCAAATAAACGATTAAATAAAATAAAATAAATACACATTTTCAGAATAAATTGTCATAGTTATTCCTCTTACATTTCACTTATATTTCTATTTATTTTCTATTCATTCGATTTATAATATTTTACATGTTATATATTTGCCCCTTGTTTGACAATCTTCCTATTATATTCATGTATGCACTGTATGTGTACACTTACTTGGGCTCTAAGCCAGTTACGTCACATGAGGGCGACACACATCTTTGTCAGTGAACAAAATGGCGTCTTACTGTTTGACTGTCACCAGACTGCGGGTAAGAAAACGTTATTTTATCTTTTACAGACTCTTTAACCGGCTTGTTTTCATGTACATACATGACAACAGAAATGTGTTTCTGTATAGTCATATTTTTTTCTCTTAAGTTTGACGGTTAACGGGTAAAGTGCGCAGACAGCGACCGTTACTCAGGTCACCGTGTCCTCGTGTGACTCACGGAAGCGTCGCCTTTCAACGGCTAAAAAACACCCAGAGTTTACAATAACAAACATTAAATCGTGTTTTTTATAGTATCAGTATGTCGTTAAATCAATATCAGCTGGATGTTGTGTGGAAACGGTCTCGGGTGGCCTGATATTTGCAAGGTGATCACAAGGTTACAGAGTTTTCTTAATGCGCACTTCATTACAGCTCCTCCTGACAGCTGGGAGTGATAGCCTGCACTGTGTTTCTGATGTTTTGTTGGGAAATGGAGGAAATAAGATTGTATATCTTCATTTTAAATAGCACAGGGCCTTCAGTACGTAGCTGTATACATTAGGATGTAAACACAAGTAAGTATGCTGCTTATAAAGTCACCTACAGCCTACACTCGGTCATACATTGTTGTACTCAGTGGTGAATGATTTCAAGTTTTTTTTCTCATTTACAGAATAGTTACAACATCGTTTTTGCAATGAGAATCTAAAAGTGCAACATACTAAATACATAAAAGAAATAAGGAAGTGAAATACTGCTATAAAACAATTCATGTACCTATATTTAGTGTTTTGTTTGCTAGGTAAGGGCTTGCTTTGCTTGGTAATTCATCATTTTATTATCTCATTATTTGTATTTAAATTGCAGACTGTACATCCAAATAATGTCCTCCCAGAATAATGTCATCCCACCTATAAACAATCACATATGACCTCATCCATTATTCGTATCAGATAACATCCTATGGTATAAACAAGGAAAAAATACAGGGTTAATATAAAAAAAAAAAACTGTTATATTACAGACAGAAATTGAGCTTTATTTAGAATGAAGAAAAACATGGCTGTCAGTGTAGTGTGCTTGAGTTGTATACGTTTGAGATTTGTCATTACTTGCTGTAGTCTACGTTTATGAGATGGTACCTTAGTTAGATAGATAGCATAGCATTGCATTGAGTGGACATTATATAAAAAGCCCACTAATAAAAGTCATCATTTTCCAGAGCTAGGGGAATGGCCCTCTGAGGATTTTCTCCACTGCTCCTGGTTTATTTCCACTGATTTTCTTTTTTGTTGTTAATAGTGCTCCTCTGATTTACTCTGCCTGTGCCTCTAGTGTTCACACATCCACAGTGTCCTGTATCAGACTGTCAGTACCAGCCTAGTGGGAGGCTAACCACTGAAATATGAGCTGTGTGAACTTTCACCCCAGGTTCCTCTGAGCACAGTGTCTTTCCCCTGAATATCAACACTGAACATAGCATCCCTCTTGTGTAGACTAAGGTCACTCATTGGCAAGACAGATTTAAATATTATCCTGTAATATAGCTTGATATAGCCTAGTTTTCAACAGTGGCAAATGACAGCCAAAAACTTTATTCAGTCACAGTGTCTTCTTCATTTCTTACATAATCTTGATGCAGGAGTATATCTAGTGTGTTTTGCTCCATAATAAAGCTTTGCAATGCACAATTAAAGGACATTAAGTTATTAAAATGCTTTTTACAGTGTCCACAGATTCTGATTTTGTGTAAGAAAGTAGAGATTCATACCCTATTTTGACAGCTTTAAAAAAAAATCCCAGCACGAACATATGCTGACATTAAAATGAATTCATCATAATTCATCATCAGCAAAAATATTTTTTTTAATGTGGCTAGAACTTCTCTTTATACAAGGATTTTTTTTTTTTAATGACTGTCTTATTTATGTGGCAAAACCATATGTCAAAAAGGGTTCTTGTTTTTTTAACAATATAGCGCTTTTGTACACTGGAGTACAGTTGGAAATGATTGACAAATTACCAATAACTGCAGTAAATATACTTTGTTCACCTCCAGTAATGAGTTGCTCAGGAAATTCAGAGTTGTCTTTCTATCATAATGTCAATGTTTAACCCAGCTGGCCCAGCCGTTTGTGACCAAAATAGAGGATTCTTTGTCTGTGTTTTTACACACTACACATTGTATTTTTTATTGGTGCTCTTTAGGGGTGTAACGGTTCACAAACATTTCGGTTCGGTACGTACCTCGGTTTTTAGGTCACGGTTCGGTACGTTTTCGGTACAGCAGAAAAAATGATCACAAAACATAAAATATTTTCTGTTTTTTAAAAATTATTATTAAACTGTGAATATTCACTCAAATAAATACAAAATATAATAAAATAAACATTAAGGTGCAGCATTTCGATGAACTGAAATAATCTGTATTTGAACTGTACTGTACTAGTACCTAAGCAGCCAGCTTGACATTAGGACTTGCTTGCTTGTCATTGTATTTTCATGCTTTTTTTTAAGAAAAATGAACTTGTCCACATTGCTTGCCGAAAGGGCAGATCTGCTGGCACTAACAATGTCTCCTGATGTGGAGGACACCCTCTCGCTAGGGACAGAGGTAGCAGATACAGCCAGGTAGCGCTTTGCTAACATGGCAACATAAGGATATTTGGCGTTTGTAATAGCTTTGGCTCGGTCTGAACTTTTTGCGAGTGTTGGAGCCTTAAATGCTAGTGGGAGTTGGGTTTGCACTTCAGTCTTTTTTCTTTTGGTACCGGTGATATTCACGTTCGGGTGATGCCTTTTCAAATGAGTGTGCAAGTTTGATGTATTGCCAGCCGCGTAACCAATTTTAGTTGAACAATGCCGACAAACAGCTTTGGTTCGGTCCACCTGTCTTTGTCCGTCATCCTTGTACGTAACTGCGAAACCAAAATGTTCCCAAACCGGAGACTTCAATGATGCTGGAGGATTTTCGAGCTCAACTTTATCTGAGTTCGCCATTTCGACAGTTCCTCAAATTACTGACTAAATTTGAACGCATCCCTGTGACCAGCTCTCATAGTATGCCTCTCGTCCAATGAAATGACTTGGTCGCTCTATGACGCGTTGAACCCAATGTGAGCAAATTACACTGAACGCTGCGACGCAGCACCTGAGATTACTTCCAAAAAGTTGTTCACGTTCTCAATTTTTTACGTTTAAAGTTATATTCGTTCGGTACACTTCGGTACACTTCGGTACACACGTGTACCGAACCGAAGGGCCCAAACCGAATAATTTCGGTACGAATACGTATACCGTTACACCCCTAGTGCTCTTGCAAGGTTATGTTTTAACCATCCTCACATGTGGTCCCATTCTTTCACACTTTATTGTGTCTATAACTCAAATATTTATGTATTATTCTTTACAGATTTATTTATTTAATGTTTATTTTATTATCTTTTCTTTTTAATGACTGATTTTAAATGCCATTTTCTTAATGTCTTCCATTTTTGTAAAGCACTTTGAATTGCCTTGTGTTGAAAGGTGCTATATAAATAAACTTGCCTTGCCTTACAGTAAAACTTTGTTTATGGTGCAATTTCTCAAACCTGTCCTTTGTTTCCTCTGCTCTAGCTGGTCCTCGGAAGTGGGGCGAGGCGTTTTCATGTCTGCGCGGCCTTCAGCGCCAAGGCCAAGGTGGCCATGAGCCGCTTTGAGCCCAACAGCACCGTGAACTATGAGAAGATGCACGAGAACATCAACATCGTGCGCCAAAGGTCAGAAGTTGCCCTACTACACAGAGTGCTTGATGAGTACCGTTTGGCTCATGAGGAATGGAGGGTGTTTATGACAGCTGCACAATGTTTACTAGTGAGGGCCCACAGAGCTAACTTTGGATGTCTTGATGTTCCCGCCTACTGAGGTCACCACATGCTGTACGTTTTTTTGTTTGCCTACCTGGAAGTTAGCATCGTAATCGTAAAGATCTCCCTAAAAAGCTAATGTTAGGCTATAAACAAACTACATTATGGTCACCACCGTTAAGCTAAAGGCGGCTAATGTTTGGCGTGATGATGTTTTGTAGTCTCATTTAGACACTTGTTGGCAACCACCATTTTAAGGCCCATAGAAGCTTAAGACTCACCATGGGGATATTTACTGACCTTTTCTATGTAGTCGAACAAAACGTGAAAACCTCTCCAGCTTCTATCAACGACAGACCTTTTTTTGGTTTTGTTTTTCTAGCCATATTGATGACATTTGTAGTCTCTGAGGCTATAAACACTCCTCGTCTCTTAATCCTCTCCTCCAGGCTCGGCCGTCCTCTCACTCTGTCGGAGAAGATCGTGTACGGTCACCTGGACGACCCGGTGGGGCAGGATATCGCCCGCGGCAGCACCTACCTCCGCCTGCGCCCCGACCGCGTGGCCATGCAGGACGCCACGGCTCAGATGGCCATGCTGCAGTTCATCAGCAGCGGTCTGCCCAGGGTGGCCGTGCCCTCCACCATCCACTGCGATCATCTGATCGAGGCTCAGATCGGAGGGGTGGAGGACCTGCAGAGGGCCAAGGTGAGGACTGACACAGACATATAGATGGAGATTATATGTATATATTGTAGTACATTATAGTTTATAGTACAGTCATTGGTTGAAAATTGCAAATTCAGGAAATTGATGGAACATTTTAAAATGTGTTGAGATGGATTTGATTGTAAAGCAAAAAATGAATATACCTACATTTTATATTTATCTTGAGTTGTGTTCTCACATTATTCTAAATTAAATTGAGCCATATAATGTTAGTCAAGGTAACATTTGGTAATCTTAATAGCAGTGTATTCCCTTTATCCATCTGTCAGCATTGTCGTTTTCTGCCCGAAGCTGTCGTAAAAAATAGTTTTTATTCCATTGAAGCTGCCTGCTTGATCAAATAACTGTTAAATTACTGGATTTAGGATTTAATGCAGCATCCAAGTTTATTATGTGTGGTAACATCAAGGATACTCATGTACCTTATATGAAAATAACTCCTCACCAATAATTCTGAACACAGGAAGTAAACGAGGAGGTGTACAACTTCCTTGCCTCCGCTGGAGCCAAATACGGAGTCGGCTTCTGGAAACCCGGATCAGGAATCATCCATCAGGTGCAGTACACTGATTTATAATAACGTTTTAAATGTCTTTTACATTTTACATTGAAAAATGATGCATTTGTCCATCCAGAAAAGGACATTCCAAAGAAGTAGTCTGTGGAGAATTTCATCCCAAGATAAAACTCTGTGACTGACTCGTGTCTCGTCCCTTTCCTCGGACAGATCATCCTGGAGAACTATGCGTACCCTGGAGTGATGCTGATTGGTACAGACTCCCACACTCCCAATGGCGGTGGCCTCGGCTCCATCTGTATCGGAGTGGGTGGAGCGGATGCTGTGGACGTCATGGCAGGAATCCCCTGGGAGCTCAAGTGTCCCAATGTGAGTTTTTGACATCTTGTTAATTATTATTTTAATTTTAATTTTTTATAGATACTCTTTATTGAGTTTAACACAACATACAGAAACAATGCACAAACCCCCCCCACCCCCCCCCCCCCCCCCCCCCCCCCCCCCCCCCCCCCCACAGACAGCCACACAGCACATCCTCAATTTGACAACAATTGAATAATAATAATAATAATCCTCATTTACATAATCACAATAATATAGATAGACCACAAAGGATAAATAAATTATGTGTATGCACACGCATATACATACACATCATGCTGGAGTATCAATCAAACATATAAAACTATGAGGAATATAATTTCAAGTCCGCAATATGTGAGTTCAGGGTAATCAGGTAATCAGAAGCTCAAGTGTGTGTGTGTGTCCCCCCCCCCCCCCCGAGAAGTAAAGCTTTCAGGTCAGTACGCAAATACAGTACGGTCATACTGACTGGTCACTACATTCCCTCTTGAGGTAGCAAGCAGTCTCTCATGAGGGAGAGTGTTAAAAATCTCCCTATAATTATTTGTATTTAATTAGCACTCTCAACCCTGTTTTCAGTCACTAAAGTCTGTTTTGTTTTTTTCTATTTGTTTAAACCTGTGCATATTTTTCCCTTCAGGTGATTGGAGTGAAGCTGACGGGAAGTTTGTCTGGATGGACCTCACCGAAGGATGTGATCCTGAAGGTGGCCGGCATCCTGACTGTGAAGGGCGGCACCGGAGCCATCGTGGAGTATCACGGGCCTGGAGTGGACTCCATCTCCTGCACAGGTGAACATCACATTCATTAAAGTATTAAAAACACTGGTGAAGGAAAATAATAGGGAGAACAGTGACCGCTTCAACGACTAGGCCTGGCACAATCACTACTTTTATTAGACGATACATTTTCCCAGAAATAATTCAGATCAATGACATAAGTGTCGTTTAAGGTATTTAATAATTCATGATTTTTTTTGCTTTTCTCAGAGCCTGTTATTTATTGATTTCTGTCGGGATGTAAATGTTCATTCTGTCTTCATGTTGGCTAAAGTGTTGGTGACAATATTTCTAAACAAACATGCATGTAAACCCAACAGGTAATATACATTTCAGCAAAAATAATCACGGTGAAAAATATATCTTGTATGATATATTTGATTAACTTAACTATCAACACAGGCGTATCGACTAACATTCACCCATTCCTTGCTGGAATAAAAGATTAGTTTCTTCAACTTTAGTGCAGTTTATTTTACTCATAGGCTAAAATAACTCTTTGTTTTTTACAGGAATGGCCACAATCTGTAACATGGGCGCTGAGATCGGAGCCACTACGTCCGTTTTCCCCTACAACCACCGCATGAAGACGTACATGGAGAAAACAGGCCGTGGAGGTCAGTCTCTTTCCGTCAGTCTCAGTTTAGTATTCATGAAACGTGTTTTAACAACAGCTTCCTCTCCTCCTTCTTCATTCCCTCTCAGAGATCGCTGTGTTGGCCGATCAGTTCAAAGAAGACTTGGTTCCAGATAACGGCTGTGAATACGATCAGGTCGTTGAGATCAACCTGAGCGAGGTGAGTCTTAACATTTACATGAATCATGTAATGTAAGACGTTTTTATAGGTATGTCCCAAATCCAGACTATCTACAACAGGGCTATTCAATTAGTTTGGAATGGGGCCGGTTGATGAAAATTATTCAAAGCAAGGGGCCGGGAAAAAGATGGCTTGAAATATGAGCAATCGTATTAAGAGCTTCAGATACAGTAAATACTACAACAGCATAGTGGAGTGCATATATTGTGTTTAATTAAATCAAACAACATAGCCCCAAGGCCTTTCTAGATCTAAATGGCAAGTTCAGAACTCAGTAGGCCTACATGTGAAGCTAATGTAACCATCAACATCATTTAATTTGATTTAATTTAGGTGACATGATCTAATCATTCACGCACAGATGCAATCAATGACAGGAGTTGTCACTACAGTAGCTAGTAGGTGGGTTTGAAACCCGAGCCCGCCGAAGTTTTCAGGCAATGTCTTCCCCTCTATCTCTCAATATAACACCCTCTCTGGATGTAAGGCACTCTGGCCCAATTTTCTTTCGTAAAAAAAACTAAAATTCTTAAAAAAACAAAACAGTTGATTTACTTTTAACATTATACTCAAAGGGCCAGTAAATATCACCCCGGGGCCGCCAATTGAAGAGCCCTGATCTACAGTTAATAAACTGTGTACTAGCTTTAATTATACAAAGAAATCCAGGTACTTTATGTTTTAATACTGACAGGGAATTATACAATGTGTGATAAAAAGAAAGAAATCTGGGATAATTTAGGTTTTGAGAATTTTGCCGCCATGAAATATTCTTTTATTTTCGGACAAGAACTTCCACTGCACACAAATACATTCATTAGCTTAATACATAAATAAATAAAATCTACATTTAAGAATCACTGACCTACAAAACCTTGCATACAGTATGTTGTAAGTCAAAGTTATTTGATAAACTATCTCCTCCAAACAGTTGAAAATGTCAAAAATAAATCTCGGATCATTTAAGTTTTGAGGATTTTTCTGCTATGAAATGTTATTTTATGTTAGGACAAGATTAAACTAAATAAACTAGTTTTAATAAATGACCCGAAGCTGGGCAGTAAAACAAAAATCCTCATTAAGAATCACTGACCTACAAAACCTTGCATATGTTGTAAGTCAAAGTAATTCCAAGGAGGCTTCAAGTGTTGTCCATTCAAAAAATAAACTCTCTTCTCCAACAGTTGAAACCCCACATCAACGGGCCCTTCACCCCCGACCTGGCCCACCCTGTGTCTGAAATCGGGGCCACGGCTAAGAAGAGCGGCTGGCCCCTGGAGGTGAAAGTCGGTCAGTATCTGTGACGTTAGCTGTATTCTCTTACAGGGTTTTAATGCTTTGTCTAGTGAAAGTTGATATTTCTTTCTTTGTTCCTATGAGCTGTGCTATTGACCGGATCTCACATTACAGCCTGTCAGGAGGCCTTTCAGGGTAGAATTAGTAAAGAGTGCAATACAAGTCCAGTCATTGAGAGAATAATAATGTGTTCTCCTATTCCACAATTTTCTCTCGTTTCATATGCAGAATAATGTGAAAAACTATTTCGGAGCTAATTGGGGCCCGGCGCGGGGAGGTGCTTTAGTTTGCCCTGGTGTTAAGCAGTATTTACATTGTTACTCTACCTATTTTTCTATAAAGTGAAGATTTGTTTACCTACTTTTGATACATGCTCTGATGGAATAACTGTATGCTGTTGAAAAAAAACCAATAAACAAAGAAAATTGCGCCTCCTTGTTCTGATTTCTCCTCTCTCATCTTATCTCCTGCAGGTCTGATTGGCAGCTGCACCAACTCCAGCTACGAGGACATGGGCAGGGCGGCTTCTCTGGCCAAACAGGCTCTGGATAAAGGTCTGAAGTGCAAAGCCCAGTTCACCGTCACCCCCGGCTCAGAGCAGATCCGCGCCACCATCGAGAGAGACGGATATGTGAGTCACAGTCCCACTAACATTGAACTAGTGACCCATACTATGCAGGCATTTTCTTTCAGCACAAGGAAAGGATTTACTCTAATTCATAATGTCCCTCTTCCAGTCTAAGATCCTGCGTGATGTTGGTGGTGTTGTCCTCGCTAATGCTTGTGGACCCTGCATCGGTCAGTGGGACAGGTACGCACCTCCATTATAAAATCACAGATTACATTTTGTAGAAGTGTTCCCCACATAATGATTTTTGACTACTTCAGTTTCCAGTGAAATCATCAAAATGTTGTTTGTTCCCACACTTCTATATTACTGCATGTAATGAACTCTGTATCTGCTATTAGCCAGCAGTAGGGATTTAATATGTCAGTCTTGTAAACTGATTTTAAACGGGTTGCTCACTGCAAAGAATATACAAAGTAAAGTCTGAATAGCAAATAAAAGCAATGTATGTTAACCACAACGCCTCAGACTAACATGCTCTGTGTTTTGACTTACTTCAGGAAGGATGTGAAGAAGGGAGAGAAGAATACTATCGTCACGTCCTACAACAGGAACTTCACCGCCAGGAATGATGCTAACCCGGCTACTCATGCTTTCGTCACCTCTCCTGAGGTAAGAAGTACTGCATGAAGCAAGACTCAGGAGTTCATAATGACATTATAATCAATAGACAGACTTACAGTAGCTCATGAATACAGTATAGTTGGTAAGGTAGCTAAGGTACGTTTATTTATATAGGACATTTTCAGACGCAGAGGCAATTCAAAGTGCTTTACATCATCATTAACACTTAATAGGAAGACAACAGAGAGGAACACAATAAATAAACAATATGGAATACCAGATTCATAAAAAACATGCATACAAATAGTTTAAAAACAACATTGTACATACGGTAGGTGCTTAAACAAGTTAAAAGACTTCTGGGTAAGCAGCTAATAGAAGTAGTGTTTTTAGCCTCGACTTAAAAAAAAAGTGTGTGTGTGTGTGTGTGTGTGTGTGTGTGTGTGTGTGTGTGTGTGTGTGGTGTGTGTGTGTGTGTGTGTGTGTGTGTGTGTGTGTGTGTGTGTGTGTGTGTGTGTGTGTGTGTGTGTGTGTTGTGTGTGTGTGTGTGTGTGTGTGTGTGTGTGTGTGTGTGGTGTGTGTGTGTGTGTGTGTGTGTGTGTGTGTGTGTGTGTGTGTGTGTGTGTGTGTGTGTGTGTGTGTGTGTGTGTGTGTGTGTGTGTGTGTGTGTGTGTGTGTGTGTGTGTGTGTGTGTGTGTGTGTGTGTGTGTGTGTGTGTGTGTGTGTGTGTGTGTGTGTGACTCACCCTAAATGCTTATTATGTAATTGAATATAGATCGTCACAGCCATGGCCATCGCTGGGACCCTCGACTTCAACCCAGAGACCGACTATCTGACCGCCGCTAACGGAGAGAAGTTCATGCTGGAGCCCCCCACCGGTGACGAGCTCCCCTCCAAAGACTTCGACCCGGGCCAGGACACCTACCAGCACCCCCCCGCCGACGGCGCCGCACTGACGGTGATTTTTCTCTCCAAAGACACTGTATTTTATCATGACAATCCAGAAAGCAGCACGGCACCAATACAGCCATTTTCTAGTGATTTGAGCGTCTTCTGTCATAAACCCAGAAGAGTTTGAAGCAGTACACAAAATAATAAACAGCTCTTTGATCTTTAAAGCTAAAACAAATTGAACAAAACTGCAACTGAGAAACCAGGTAGCAAATCTTACGCAGGATGAAAGTCATTATCCGGGCAATAATTTTGTTTAGAGTTTGTTTTCCTTGGGTGTCAATGACCCAGCATACAAAGAACAATGGGTTTACAATAACGTCCTCTTTTTGTTTTCTCCTGTGTTTAAAAACCATCTGCCTTTCTGGTGTCTGTCCACCTGCATCCAATAATTACCCAAATCAACTGGTGCCTTCAAAACAAAAGCATAAACAACTGCTAAAATAATCTTAAATAAGGACAGTAAATTATAATCTAATTACTACAAAGAAAAACAGCAAGAAAATAAATGTTGGCTAAATATTACAAACCAAGTTGTCTGCACCTCTGTCCTTTGAAAATATTCTTGGACATTTACAAAATGGAGAGGATAACATCATCTGTCAATCACAAACTGGAACTATTTGTGTCGCGATGGAGAAAGTGGACTGATTTCGTAAAACCTCATAGGCCAGATTTTATTTTTACAAACGTATGATTTTACTGTGAAGTCCTGATCACTCCCTAATGCTCGTACTTTTGACTGTTTTTATGTTATCTTTGTGTAAAAAAAGAAAAAAGGCAATTCGGACAGACACACTTAATATGTACAATTACTATGTCTTGAAAAAACACTATAAATGTTTGCTGCCAAATGTCAATAAAAGAAAAAAGGATATTTTTTTGGAAGAGCCTTCATGTCTATGTATTTTTGGAAGAGCCTTCATGTCTAACAGTGATCTTGGTGTGTTCAGGTGATCGTGAGCCCCTCCAGTAACCGCCTGCAGCTGCTGGAGCCCTTCGACAGGTGGCACGGAAAAGACATGGAGGAAATGAGGGTCCTCATCAAGGTGAGCAGCGAATAAAAGAGAAACTCCACAGAACTATATAAGTGCTGGGGTGTGATGTGAATATTATATATAATATAGTATTTTCGATCTCTGTGTCTGTACACACAAACTGAAAGGTTGACAATAAAGTTGACTTTGACTTTTGTCCCTCTAGGTGAAGGGGAAGTGCACCACGGACCACATCAGTGCCGCCGGGCCCTGGCTGAAGTTCCGCGGCCATCTGGACAACATCTCCAACAACATGCTGATCGGAGCCGTCAACATCGACAACGAGGCCATCAACAAGGTGAAGAACCTGCTGACGGGAGAGTTCGGAGGAGTGCCTGACGTGGCCCGCCACTACAAGGTGAGTCTGGACTCTTGTCTACTGTTGATGATATGTTTTACCTTTATACTTTAATAATAATAATAGATTACATTTGTATAGCGCCGTTCAAGGGACCCAAGGCTGCTTTACATGGTGAACAAACAAACAAACAAACAAACAAACAAACAAACAAACAAAAGGGGCAAATAATAAAGTACAAATTAGATAAATAGCAGTAGGAGTGGAAGCAGGGGGACTGTGATGGGTTAGAGCACATGTGTCAAACTCAAGGCCCGGGGGCCAAATCAGGCCCGTGGTGGATTTAATTTCGGCCCGCAGGATAATTTCTAATTACTATTAGATCTGGCCCGCCGGTATTTTGCACGCACACCTTCACTCAATCCTGAGGGTCTCCTCAGCTCAGAGCCTGACCCCAAACATTGATGAACTTGCACCCAAGATGAGATGCCAAGTATCTGGCTTGAACTAGCATCACAGAGCAGCACACTGAGTTTACATGGATGTTTCCTTCTGCACTTTGTTTCTTGAGACAACAGGGCATGTTTGGTTTGTTCTTTGAGGGGAATAGTTTTTTTGAAGCTGTTGTTGGCCTGTGGGAAAAAGCTGCATATAGAGCCATAAGAAATGAATGCAGCTGATTATTTAATGTTTAATGTTGTTTTCATAGGCAATAATTTAAGCTTTGTTAGTTCCAGGTTTAATATGTGCAATAAGTTCATTTCAATAAGTTCTGCAAGAAACATTGAACCAGTCCGGCCCTCGACTAGTACCCATTTTTTTATTTTGGTCCTCTGTGTATTTGAGTTTGACACCCCTGGGTTAGGGGTTTACATATAAATGTTTAAGAGGGTGATTCAAAGTCCTTTTGCCCTAAACACCGGCATATCATCCCTCTTATTACAAGGCTACTATTAAATCAATCAATGATTTGACACAACATATTGATTTATCGATCCCGAGTCCCCTTTGTTAACATCTTGAGTGTCCTTTATACTTAACCCCAAAAATGTCTACCATAGTCTACGATATTGAGGTGTATGCTAGTTGCTTTGGATAAAAGTGTAATGCTGGTAATAATTGAACAAGAAACGGACCGTAACAACCATTAGGTGTACCCGATTAACTGAAGGTGGATTGTGTAGCATGCTGTATGCTAGTGCTAACAAAGAAAAGCCCCATTCTTATTCGAGTTGCATACTTTCTGAGCAACCGATTTCCCAGTTTCCTCGATGGGACTTCTTTGTCTTCTCTATCCTGGTCCCAACAGCACTTAAACTACTTCCTTCTCTTTGTTAAAGGCCAATGGAGTGAACTGGGTGGTGGTTGGAGACGATAACTACGGAGAGGGATCCAGCAGAGAGCACGCCGCCCTGGAGCCTCGACACCTGGGAGGACGCGCCATCATCGTCAAGAGCTTCGCCAGAATCCACGGTACGTTTACCGCCACAGATGGAAAACAACATCTATCTGTCTTTATTCCACTTTCACTTGAACCATTCATTTATCTAATCCCTGTCAAAGGGAGGCAGTGTCTCAATGAGTGTTATGGTTTCAGAACAAACTGATGACTATTTACTGGCATGTTTACAGTCTGTGAGAAAAAGGATGTCTCCTAAGAGAGTAATAACTAGTGTCCATTAGAGCCAGTTTGTTACAGGAGGCTTCATGTTAAGTGGAGAGATGAAAGCCTGCAAACATTCGTGTGAAAACATTTCATCAGAACCAGAAAGACACAAAATAAATGCTGTTGATTACTCGGTCTTGGCAAAAAAACGGATTCCCAACAGCATGAATACTGTGTGAATAGCGTATTCATCTTGAGAAGCGCTAATCAATAACCACCAGCCACACGCGCTCGCATGCATTATTCTCCATGACCTTGTACATCTCTGTAATCGATATTCTCCTGACACACAAGGAGCTCTTCTCTGGTTACCTGACGTCCAGTATGACGCTGTTGGGTTTCATATTTCCATCTTTTCTCTCCTCCTCACAGAGACTAACCTGAAGAAACAGGGCCTTCTTCCTCTGACGTTTGCCGACCCCAAAGACTACGACAAAATCCGCCCCGACGACAAGATCTCAATCACTGGACTGAAGACCTTCGCTCCCGGCAAGGTGAGCAGTCTGACAAACTAACGAAATATCGATCCACAGGACAGCTGACCTTCTCTTAAAGGAGACGTATTAGGCTAGTTATCATGACCATACATTTAGGTTAATCATTTTGGGTCTTCTACTATAACATGTTCACTTGCTTAAAGGTGGGGTAGGTAATTCACTTCTGAAAAACTTTTTGTTATATTCCATGGAATGCTCTTAACATCCCGATAGCAATGAATATATGAAATGCTTTGACAATAAATACATTAAAAAATGTCATCTGTGGAAGCCGAGGCGCTGTAAAAAGCACGACCAATCATCTGAGCCGGCCCGGCTAAAATAACTGGATGGCCTACCTGCCTGTCAGCCTTCCATCTCGTGCACAAACTTATCTCGTGCCCTCATTGGTCATGTGCGCGTTCGTGTGTGTTGGAGGAGGGGCTCTGTAAGGAAGTCTGAAGGAAGGGGCAGATTTTTTTTCGGCTGCGTACTTTCAAATTCTTGCGCACTTGAGCTGGTTTCTCCAAAATTACCTACCCCACCTTTAATGGTCTAAAAACATTTATTTTATGATTCTTTATTCACGGTCTGTCTCAGTAGCCCCATTCCTCACTTTCATTCCTACATGTAGCTTATAAACACATGCATTTTGTTTAATATAGTTTTCTTTTTTTAGGAGATTTAACCATTACATTCACAAAAGAGGAAAAATGCCTTGTAAACATGCTGGTGTAACAAAACAGTTTTCCAATTTGGCATCAGTAAAGCATATCTAATCTTATCTCATAAAACCTTTCGAGCAAAATACAGAAAAAATATATTGTGATATACATTTCATTTCCCCTACCCAACCCCTAATTATGGGAAGTGTAAATTGTATTAAAGTGTTTTTGTACTAACACAGTATTTTTACAGCGCCTACACCTACTTTATGATCACAAAGACAGGAAAATGTCCTTTTTAAATGACTGTATCTTTGTGAATAACATGATAAATGATTGTTACCTCCTCTGCCCCCCCCCCCAGCCCGTGACAGCAGTGATCAAACACAGCAACGGCAGCCAGGAGTCGATCACTCTGAACCACACCTTCAACAAGAATCAGATCGAGTGGTTCCAGGCCGGCTCCGCCCTCAACAGGATGAAGGAGCTCCAGTAATTGATGAAGAGGAGGGAAGGAGGGGCCAGTAGGGGTCCAATGAGGGGCCTTGGCTGGGGTTAAGAAGGGGAGAAACGTGGGCCTAGAGAGGGGCGAAGAGGAAGATGGATGGTAACCAGACTTTAGTTGGTTTAGGGACAACTGTAGTGATGCTCAATTAAAGAAAACTCAAACACACGCATGGTCGCTGTACAGATGAAAAGCGCACACACACACGAGCACGTACAGTTCACGCACAGCCAGGATTAATGTTATTGCACTCCCACAGCTTAGATCCTGAAACAGGCAGCATCACTCATACTGACAGCACTCCTATAATAATAATAATAATAATCGGATATAACACGCCATTTATTTTCATACTTTAGTGAAAATACAGTCTGTTTGAAGCATTAACATAAAGAACACTGTGTATTACCTTTTGTCTGAAGTATACAAACCTGATCGAGACGCAGAATATTATAAAAAAATATGTTAGCAGACGAGTTGAAAGCTTCCTGCTTAAATATCTACTGTAAAATACACTCTAAAAGGTAAAGATTCTCCATCACACATCCTTTAAAGTGTTTGTCTTGATAATTTCCATCCAAACGGCTCTAACATCTAAGTTATTTAAGGCCTATGATTGTACTTTTCCTTTAACATCATCTCTATTTATTATAACATTGCACCAAATGTACGTGAAATACATTCGTTTTCAATCATTTCCCGTCTTTGTTTGGCTGCTAGATTCACCCTCATGGACCTGTTGTAGTTGAGAGCCACACTGTAGACAAACTACCAGGCAAAATGATTTACTGTAGAAGCATTATTGATATCCCATGCTGCACTGTTACGGTACAGCCATCCTCTCTCAGTTTAAAATACGTCATTTTTTTATGCTGCTTTTGATCTTAATCTCGCCCAGATTTTGCTCCATTTCAGCCACAAACTCCCTCCCTCCTACGCTCGCTTGCTCTTTGCTAAATCTGTCATGTGATAAAATGTCCCATTGTGTGAAAACTTGGGACTGGAACCACAACACATACAGCCATTGTGTTAGTGATAGACGCGCCGATTTGACTTCTTTCCAGCTGTGTTTTGTCCTTTGTGTGTAAACCTTTTCTTTGGTGGTTAACATCAGTCTGTGATCGCTTCCCTCTTTGCTCGTCCTGTCTCTTGTTGCTCTCACTTAGGCGGCAGACCAAACCTCAACCTGACACTTGCACTTGTATTGGCTAGCGCTCCAACACATTGTACGTGATAGGGCGGGACATCTCTAAGCGGTTGACCAATCACAACAGCCGGCCAGCTAACCAATCAAAGCAGACTAAATACAAATATGAACCTGAAAATGAGCAGAATGTATTTTTCCATCTGAATGTTTTCTCAGGTTGAGGTTTGGTTCTCCATAGCATGAGATAGCCTGCTCCTTTTACACAAACTAACGCACAACCTAGTGTCCAGACGCCTGTACACTAGCACTTTGTAGGGTTAGGAGAGTGGTTTTAGGACCGCTTTGCCAAGCTTTGTTTATCCACTGCAAACATTTACGTCTTCAGCGCACATCTCTGTTGTGTTAGTAATAATCACGATTAAAACACCACTTTTCAGACAGTAGAAAACCAAGAAGTCTTGCCTTGATGTTGTAACAGTGTGGTTACATATTGTTGAGGTGTTTGCTGCTGGTACGGTTTATGTGGGAGTACTGCTGTTTTGCGTTCTCCTCCTCTATAGAAAGCCTATACATCTTCACAGTAAAATCACTGGATGAATCTTTACAGTTCCTGAGCTAAATCCCTATGTACTAAAAGAGTTTGGACCCGTGTGTAAATGATGTGATATATAGCTGCACTTTGTATAGGGGCGTGTACATAAATAATGAAATAGATAAATATATATATAAACAAAGAAAGACAGTGAGTAACATGCTGTGGGCTGCCTGTCTAAATGAGTTAAATCTAATATGTCATGATGTAGAGTCCCCTCTGTGGCCCTCAGACTGAATATACATGAATTTAATGGGTTAACAAAACAATTTGCATTGTGGGTAAATTAAAGCACAGATATTGGATTGTAGCTCTCTGCTTCAACAGTGATAAGGGACTTTTAGGAAGGGGACTGTGTATTTTTCTTGATTTTTTTGTTTTGTTCAAATCGTTTTTAGGGAATAAGGTGATTTGAAAGAGCGGACGCCCAACTTTTAAGACGTTAATGACTCCATTTAGGAGTTATCTGTTCATATATTCAACTGAAAATCATACACACTCCTTGCCACTATTCAGATGTACTGCCAAAGATGCCTAATGAATATGTTGAAGTATCCATGAGTCACCCATTATTATGTGATCTGTGAAATGTCCATAATTATTTGAATATGTACAGGGAGTTGTTTCCTACAGAATTCACCACGATCAATGTCTTTTCAAATATCATCTTGCAAAAATATTGATTAATGTGATCATCCTTTGCACATTTAAAACCAGCCGCTTGTGAATCACAGTTTGCTAATGTAACCCTGAGTTTTTAAAAGTGCTACTGTAAAGTGACGAATCAAATTATGTTGTTAACAAAAAGCATGTCTGTGGTGTAATTTTGTACTCGGGCGTCAGGCTTCCTCTGGTGTGTTTGAAATATCCTTCACATCATGCTTCATGTGTTCAGAAACAGCTAAATAAATATGGAATATATGAACAGATGTTTTTTCCCGTAGTGTTGATTCCCCTCTCACTCCGGTTTCAGCATTAAATTCTTTGTGAAAGTAGATTGTTCAATCGTTTGCTTGAGAGATTCAAAACTATCTTCACAAAATGACTGGTAAATTAATAAAGATGAAATTATGAAGTGAATGTTTTTGTGTTTTCATTTCTTAGTGTTAGATATCAGAGAAACGATCATGTGATTGTTAGTGTTACAGTGACGTCCTGATCAAATCGGCACACAGTGTTCACTCATTCATATATAATCTGTTTTTATATACCTTCAAATTCCGATAGATACTCTAGTATTTACTGTGAATTGTAGTGTTCACAGAAGTATGTGCGTTGTGCCTTAAAAGATTTAGGCTATTAATTTAATAAGCTTTTAATTCAAGTAATTCAGATTAAAAAATATATAGCATTTGTTTATTCACTGTTTACCAGAGGTGGTAGAAGTACTCAGATCTTGCACTTGAGTAAAAGTAGAAGAACCAGAGTGTAGGAATACTCTGTTACAGTAAAAGTCCTGCATTCAAGTAGAAAAGTATTAGCATTTAAATATACTTAAAGAACCAAAAGTAAAAGTAGTCATTGTCCATTTCAGAATAATATATATGATATGTTTTATAATTATTGATCATTAAAGTGTTATCACAGCTGGTAAAGGTGCAGCTAGTTTGAATGACTTTGTATACTGCAGGGTAGCTTGTGAATTTACTCCAGGTGGAACTAAAGTCTGATTTAACACTTGATTATATTCGTTAATCCAAATCTGTAAAGTAACCAAAGGTATTAAATAAAGCTAGTGGACTGAAAGTACACGATTTACCTCTGAATTGTAGTGGAGTAGAAGTAAAAAGTAGTATAAAATGGAAGTACATCAAAATGTAAAGTACAGTACTTAAAATAACATATTTCTCATTTGTATGGACATGTGTGGAAACCAAAAAGCCCAGTAGGTTAAAGAATAAGAAATATCAAAACAGAGCTGAAAGATTGTGCTCTGTACCTTTAAGTTTTGCGACATGTCGTAAAACCTCACTGTCGTAAATACTCACATGGAGACATCATGGACACTGTTGAGTTTTCTCTAGATTATTCTACTTTAAATTGGGTTTTTTGGCAGATCGTGGAAACTTCTTGACCCTTTTTTTCCTTCTTCGGTGTGGAAAAAAATCCGCTATCCTGAAAATAAGCGACACTGCATCGCTCCGGGTGTGTGTGTGTGTTCATGTGTTTGTGTGTGTGAGTGTGTGTAACAGTGTGCATCATGTTCGTGTTGGTGGAGATGGTGGACACTGTCAGGATCCCTCCGTGGAACTTCCAGAGACAACTGAACGAGGCCATAGCCGAGGAGCTCAACAAGAAACTGGCCAACAAGGTGTGTGTGTGTGTGTGTGTGTGTGCGTGTGTATGTGCGTGTGTGTGTGTGTGTGTGTGTGTGTCTCGGTGTGTCTGAGAGACATTTGAACAACTCTTGACACAAAATGTTAAAGTAAATACAAGTCAAGCTTATTGTATTACCTTTACTGTATGTAGTCTTTTTTTTGAAGCAGGAGAAATACAATACAGAACAAATTATCACATTAGTAAAACAGCAATAACAACAATAACACCCCTCTATAAATAAGCTCTCAAATTAAAAGTTCAAAATCATCCATTGAGATGATACTTTCAGGTTTATAAATTATTTGTTATACACTCTATACTGAAGTAACCGTACTCATATACAACAAAAAATTATGATTCTACTGAATTATATTGCCTTTTCTGTCCTGTGTCTTCCACTATGGTGAGACTTCAAAAGCATTACCTCTGACTAACATATTTAAAGGGGACCTGTCATGCAAAATGCACTTTTGTACGTCTTTTATACATGAATATGTGTCCCCAGTGTTCCAGGGAACTCACCAAGTGTCAGAAAACACAACCCTCTCTATTTTCCTCCATACCCAAACCTCTAAAAAAGGGGCTGCAACGGATCTGATAAAAACTGATCCAGATTTGAACACTGTCCTGACGTCAGGACGGTGGCGCTACGGCTATTGGGCCAACTCCACCAATCAGGAGGAGACAGCCACGGCCATTGCCGTTCGAAAGCGCTGGAGACGCTGTAGTACATATGCCAGGCCTCTAGATGGTGCTGTTCTCACTTAATCTGCCCTTGCAAAAACAGAGCTAAAAAATGTCAAATTGAGCAAAATGAGGCATGGCTAAAATGCATGATCTGTTTGGTATTTTGAAAAAAAAAAAGTATAAATATGCCTTATATAGGTATGGTCCTACACTATATTATTCAAATATAGCATGATAGGTCCACTTTAAATATTTTTAAAGCAAAGGACACATGCATTTCAGTGATTGTGAAGTGATTTGAGCAAATATGAGTTAGGGTTTTGATGCTTCTTTCAGTTGAAGTCAAATCAGTTTTGCTCTTTGTATTACAGTCGTTTGTACACAATTGAGCCCAAGCACTTGTGTAATATCATAATTTCCT